ACTATGGATGGTGGCTTTTGATATTGCTCTATTTATATCCCAATTTCTTTATCTTTTAAATATCATTACATAAGAATGAACAATAAACACTCTTTTTCCAAAATAATCATATAGCTTGTGTGCCAAATATTTATCAAATCCTTTTAAATCCGAATAATTAAAAACTTGACCCATAATAATTTTGCGTAATGAAACCAATATTTTTGTGAAATCCTTCAATATATTTTTCTATTTCTTTTAATAGTATACCCTTTAAATCTTTATTACATATGAAATCTTGTTCATCGCTTGGAAATTGATCTCTGGTTAAATTTTTTTTATTTAAGTGAAAGTACTTGGTTGATGTAGAGTAATCCAATTTTAAATTTGTTCTCTTTACGTCACAAATGGTATAACTTTTAAATGAACCACAATCCAGTTGATTTTGATAATTATAATTTTCATCGATCTTGAAAACATTTTTTTCCATTAATTTAAACTTGAATACCATTTCAATTTTTATACCGCTTGTGACCTCTTCAATAAAATGTTTGAAATTACCATAACAAATATGAATCGGTACTATATTATTTATACTATCAATCTTGATTTTATTATTTAATACTGTAATGTCTCCATCCCCATTTCTATGAACCATTTTAGTTAAACCGCCAGTAAAAACTTCACATCCAATAGGGAAAACAATAATACCAAATGTCGGATCTTCATTTTTATATTCCCAATCAACTGCATAACTACCACCTTCTTTTAAAATAATGATATGTGATGACTCTATATTACAATGTTGGAGATGAGAATCCATAAAATTTTCGAAACAGAGAACTGATACTTTACTATTTTCAATAACCCAAACATTTTTTGACTCTTCCCTGGCAATGGAAATTAGCTCTTTGATATTAGGTATAAAAATTGTTCCATACTCCACTCCTTCTATTGCTATCACAGAAACATCTTCTTTTCCAACATGCATTTCTTCATATTTAATGGAGTTATTAAAAAGACAGTATATCAATGGAGAAAAAACATTATATTCTTTGGCAACATATAGATACCCTGTTTTCTTATCGAAATTAAATAACATTTTACAAAGATCGTTTAGTTTTAAAAAATTATGTGCATAATCCAGGTTTAAAAACAACGAAAATTCTTTTGGATTTAAAGACGTTAATAACAAATTCCAATTTCTTGAAACCAGCCTTGCAATACAATAAAAAAAATATTGTTGATTTTTGGGAATATAATATTTGAAAACATGTCTAATAATCGTTTCAATAATATATTTATTTTCTGAAAAATGATTTATATTATTATTTTTATTAATATTACTATTATTGACATCATAATTATTATTATTATTATTATTATTATTATTATTATTATTGTTATTATTATTATTATTATTAACAACTATACTATTATTACTAATATTACTATTATTGTCGCCACTATTAAAGTTTAGATCTGATATATTTTTTTCCATTTAAAAAAAAAATCACTATCTTTAGTAAATAAAACTAAAAATGTTGATAATTGAAATTTTTTTTTTTTTTTTTTTTTTAAAAAAATATTTTATTTTTTTTTAAAAAAAATAAAAAAAATATAAGTTCAAAAAAAAAAAATTTTCAATTATCCTAAAATTTTTTTTTAAAAGTTCTTTTTATTTAATTTATGAAAACTTGTTATTATTTAATTTTATATTGAAAATAATTTTTTTCTTCAATTAAAAAAAAAAAAAATAAAAAAAATAAAAAAAAAAGATATAAATAGAAAAAAATTAAAAAAAATAATTTATATATGAAGTAAAAAACTATTATCAAATATTTGGACTAATGATTTATAATTTTAAATTTAATATTGTTCAGGGGGGAATAAAAAATTTATAATCCAATTTAAACAAAAAAAATTAAAAAATTATTTTTGTTTGTTTAACACACAAGTTCAAATTTTCAAGTTTTACATAAAAGAGACACCCACACCCACCAAACTAAATTAATCTTAGATTTTCACAAATAAATGAAATGAATATAAAATTATACAAATAAATTGCTTAATTATGAAAAAAAAAAATTATAATTTTTAATAATATTAATAATAAAAATAAAAATAAAAATAATAATAATAATAAAAAAAAAAATTAAAAAAAATAATTATGAAAACTTGTTTAAACAAGATGATTTATATTTTAAAAAATGTTATATGTTAATTTGTTTTATTAAACTACAAATTTAAAGTTTTTATTAAAAAAGGTTTATATATATGAAAAAATTTAAGTTTTTCGGAATTTTAAATTTTTTTCTTTTTTTTTATAAATAAATAGATAGATTTTTTGATAATATATAATATATATAATATATATAACTTATATAGATTATTTTGACTAAAATTACTGATTTTTGATTCTTTTTACAACGCATAGATTATTACTATTAATATATATATTTTTTTTTTACATTATCGAACATTTAGTTTCTTTGGGCGAGGCACCTTTTTTCTTTTTTAAAGTTTTAATCTTATTAAAATTATTTATACTGCTGGTTCTTTGTACATTCTCTTTGCTGTAACTATTTGATATATTCTCTTTAGATTGGTTATTTCCACTAGAGCTAAGATTAGATGAACTAACACTACTGGATATACTACTTAAGCTGCTGCTGCTGGCAATAGAAGTGGTACTGTTACTGCTACTAATTAAAGATAAGTTGGATTTCTTTTCTTTTTTACTAGATGGTTTTTCAGTTTGTTTAATGAACAATTGTTTTACCAATTGGTCGAAAGCACTTTGAATATTCATATCAATCCTTGCTGAGGTTTCCATGAATTCACCAGATCCCCATCTCTTTATTAAAGCCTCGACTTCTTCTGGGAAAACAGCACGGTTCTCTTCTAAATCACATTTATTACCCAAGACGACGATTGGAATTTGTGAAACTGATTTCTCTTTAACTTGACAAATATAATTTTTAATATTTTCTAATTCTATAAAACTAACTCTTGATGTAATTGAATAAACCAATACAAAAGCCTGTGCATTTCTAATATATAAATCTCTCATTGCAAGGAATCTTTCTGTACCAGATGTATCCATAATTTCTAATACACAGTTTTCACCTTTATTAGTTTCGATAACTTTTCTATATAAATCCTCAATTGTTGGGTCATACTATATAATTTTTAAAAAAGAAATAAAAAAATATTAATATAAAATATTTAATTATTATTTATAACAATATTTTTAAATTATATGGTATTTTTTTTTATGACAAAATATCTTTTTTTTTTTAAAAAAAAAAAAATTTTATATGGCACGGTCCATCATAAAAATTTTGCTGAAATCTTTTTGAATTTTATAGCCATAAAATTATATTTATTTATTTTTCTTTATACATACACTTTCTATAAAATCACCATTAACAAATCTAACAGTTAATGAAGTTTTACCGGTACCACTTGCACCCAATGTTACAATTTTAAAAGTTTGCATTTTTTATTTATTTATATATGATTATTTTTAGTTTTGTTTTAAATTACAATTTTATTTTTATATTTTTTATAAATACAACTAAGTTTTATTAATGTTACTATTTTATTAATGTTACAAATATATAAATTATCTTTATAATTCTTTTTTTTTTTTAATTAAATTAATTTTGAAAAAAAAAAAAAATTTGGTTGTTGTGCTGATAATTTTTTTTTTTTGAAAATAAAGAAAAATATTTGAACAAGGTTAACAATGGTTTGGAGCGATAAAAAAAAAAAAAAATTTAAAAAAGAAAACTATTATTATAATTGATTTAATAAAAAAAAATTACAAATTTAATAATAAAAATATTTTGGAAAAAAAAAATATTATTTCGAGAGATTATGATTATGATTGCGAAAATATCTAGGTTGAAAAAGCAATATAAAAATATATTTTTTTTTTTTTATTATAAAATTAACAGCAAATGATATTATTGCTTAAAAATCAATATGTATAATAAAGACGAAAAGTTTGTTTGGTATGTGATGTGTGGTGTTTTTAAAAAAAATAAAAGGTTTAATATTAAAAAAAATTATTTATAGTGTGTGAAAATAATTTAAAAAAAAAAAATTTAATAATAAAAAAAATAAAAAATAAAAAAATAATAATTTTCTATGATTTAATCAATGGGTTTCTATTTTAGAACAAATCATATGAATATTATGTTTGTGTTTTTTATGAAATCAAATTACCCATACCCCCCCCCAGTATCAAAAAAAAAAAATTTTATGCGAACAATTTTTTTTTTTTTTTTTTTAAAAAAGGGATAACGATAATTTTTAATTTTTGGGGGTTTTTCTCGACACTAACAGCCAATTGGGATTTAGGGTTTTATTTTTTTGTGCCCATCCCAAACTTGAGGGTCTTCAAGGAAAAAAAAAAATTTAAAAAAAAAAAAAAAAAAACATCATTTTTAAAAAAAATGATGAAATATTTTTTTTTTATTTTTTTTTTTTATTTGAATTATTTCAGACGATAAATTTTAATCTCCTTTGTTTCCTATTGGCAGGTTCTTATAAATCTCTTTTTTTTTTTAAAAAAAAAATAAATAAAAATCTTTTTCTCATTCACCATTTGTTGATTGTTTGTGGTATTGTCTAAACTGGCTGTAATGCACAAAGATCATTCACTTTAATTTTTTATTATTAAGAGTGTATACCGTTATTTTTATGTGTGGAACATTGAATATTGGGTCTATATTCATATGTGAATTTTATTATTATTTTTTTGTATAAATCTCACAGATATATGATTTGACCCATTTCGTTTTTATTGAACCAATTAAATATTAGAAATAAAATAAAATAATAATAATTCAGATTAAAAAAAAAAAAACGTTTATTATAACTTTGGATTTACGAAAAATCGTTATGTTTTTTTCCTCTTTTATCTATATTTTCCTGGTAAAAAAATTTGGTTAGTAATTGTTTTTTTGAAAAATAATGATAATAATAAAAAAATAAATAAAAAAATAAATAAAAATAAAAATTATCTTTTTTTTTTTCAAATGATTTAAAAAGACCAAAACTATGTAATGAAAATTCGTTTTTAAAAATACTATGAATTTTCTCTTTTTTAAATTATTTTGATTACGAACACTCGGTCGAAAATTTTCAGAAAAAAATAAAAAATTAAAAATAGTTACAAAATTTTCGAGCAAAACTATCAAAAAAAAAATCATTTTTGCATATTGTTACGTATGATATTTGTGATTGAGCGTGGTGAAATTTTTTGTGTATTTTAAAAAAACGAATAAACAATAAAAAAAAAAGAAAAAATGATTGGTCGAGTTGATATGGGGAGAAAAGTGAAGTGTGGATAGTGTCATAATAAAAATGACGACATTATTTTTTTTTTAAATTAATTAATTAATTAATTAATTAAAAGAGAAAAGAATATAGATTCGATTCTATATTTGGTGTATGTATAGGTTTTTTTTTTTTTGCACCATATTTTTTATACCGCAGTAATTGTTTTTTTTTTTGATACTGTTCTTTTTTTAAAAGACAAACGAAAAAACAAAATAATTATGTACCAAACCTATATATGGAACAATACAACACTAATTAATTAAAAATCTCTTCAGAGAATGAAATAAAAACAAAACTAAATACTATTGGCAAAATAATAATAAAAAAAAAAGAAAAAGAAAAATAAATTGAAATTTTTATGCAATACATTATTTCCTGGTGATAATTATGGCGAGGTAAATGTTGTGATGCAAATAAAAAAATAAAAAAACATAAAAAAATAAAAAAAATAAAAAAAAATAAAAAAATACAAAACAAATAATACAAAATAAATAATAAAAAATCAATAAAATAATCTTATTACTTACTTTTGAATCTTCTTGATATTCTTGTGAATCAATTGCCATGATATCAGGAGGTACATCTTGAATTTGAACTGATGGGGCCCATTGTAAAACTCTTAAATTTTCTAAAATTTTAATTTTCAAATTGTCTAAATAGCTTTTTGTATTTGCATTTTCAAATTTATAGGGAATGTGTGAGTAGTCGGGTATTAGTTGAAAATCGGGACTATAGAATTGAATATAATCATTATATGGCAATTCATTGTTAACTTCAGTATCAACACAAACTGATGTTTCATAGGTCCAACAACGTGCTACATTTCTAACAGTATATCCACCTCCACCCAAAACCATAGTTGGTACATTAAAACTCTTTACAAACCTAACACATTCTGCATGTCCATTGATTGTTAGGTTAAAACATCCTAATCTATCAAATCTAAGTGAATCTGCACCACATTGTAAAACTATAGCTGATGGTCTATAATAATCCATTACACCCTAAAATTATAAAATATTAGCAAGGTTAAAATTATATGAATTTAAATTATTGATATTAATTTTAATTATATTTATATTTACCTGTATTACTGGTTTAAAAATTGAAAGATAGCTCCTATCATCGATACCATCGTGTAATGGCACATTCACAGAATATTGTTTACCAGCATGCATTCCAATTTCGTCTATATCACCTGTACCTGGGAAAAAGTCGCCACCAAACTTATGAAAACTTACTGTCATTACTCTATCGGTTAAATAGAATGCTTCTTGAACACCATCTCCATGATGAACATCGATATCTATATACAAAACTCTTGGATGAAACTTTAATAGCTCTAAAATTCCCAAAACAATATCATTTACATAGCAAAAACCTGAGGCTTCGTCTTTTCTAGCATGATGTAATCCACCACTCCAATTGATCGCTATATCATACATTCTATGGTTTAATTTTAATGCTCCTTCGATTGAACCACCTGTATAAATTGAACAATAGTCATATAGTCCAGGAAACACTGGACAATCTTCACCTATATGAAATCTACTTAAGTCCTTCCATTCACTTAAATTATCTGGTGATACTCTATAACAAATTAATAAATAAATAGTTAGTATTAAAATGATTATCTAAATTCTTGTATATTAATAGAGTTACCTTTCTAAAAAATCGACATAGTCATCTGAATGAAATCTTAAAAAATCTTCAGAGTCTGCTCTTCTTGCTTTATATAAATGCATTTTTTTGTGTAACCCATAGTTTAATACCAAGTTATTGGTTAAACATAGTCTATGTGGTTTCATCGGGTGATATGGCCCATAAAAATAATTCCCAACATCTTGATCAAAAAAATAACAAACTTTGGTTTTACTGGTATTATTTAATATTGTTTTATATTCCATGCTGTATTTTTATTGTTTTATTTTTATTGTTTTATTTTTATTTTTATTGTTTATATTTTATTGTTTATATTTTATTGTTTATATTTTATTGTTATTTTGTTATTTGTTTTATTTATCTATTGTTGTAGTTTTTAAATAGCATCTATGAGTTGTTTTATTTGGAGTTTAAAAAGTGATTAAAAATTATAAAATTATTTTTAAGCAATAGTTATTTAAAAATATAATTTTAAAAGATATTAAAATTTTTAAAAAAAAAAAAAAAAAAAAAAAAAAAAAAAAAAAAAAATTTAAATAATTTAAAAAATTATTTTAAAATTTTTTTTAATTTTTTTATTTGATTAGTGCATATATAATTTAATTGAAGGAACATTTTTTTACTTTTTACATATTACAATTATTATAATATTATTTTTTAAAGTTATACTTTTTTTTATATAATAGTATTATCTAAAATTTTGTATATTTAAAAAAAAATATTCATACCCCAAACACATTCACACATACTTTAATATTATTGCTTAAAAAATGAACACACATAAAAATTCAAAACCCACACTACACACACTCTCACACGTACTAACACTAACACACACATACAAATGAATATTTATACAGATTTCGCTTTAAAAAAAATAATAGTAATAATTTTATAATTATTTTTATTTTTTTTTTTTAATTCATTAATTTTAATTTTTTTATTTAATTAATAAATTATATAAATATTTATAAATTATAAATAATAAATATCTATAGTTATAGAAATATTTTTAAATATAAATATAAAAAAAATAAATATAAAAAACAGTAATCGCCATTACTAAATTAAAGATTGTATACATTATAGTGGTAATAATGATATAAAGGAAAGAAAATAATAGAAATAAAAATTAAATAAAAAAAAACAGAAAAGTAATAATCATTTAAAATTGCAAAATAATGAAACTCTATAAAAATAATAAATTAATGGCAAATCGAATAACATATTTTTACAAGTCGACTTTGGATTCAATCAGGGGTGCATTTGCTTCACTGTTTGCATTTTATTTCCTAGTCATTGACGAGCTTTATCAATGTGTGTCCCAGTATTCATCATTAACTATAACCATCTCATTTTTACCAGACATAGACACCAATAGAAATGATGAAGAGTTAAATTTTTCAAACGATACTAGTCGAAGCACTATTTTAAATGTTAATACAAATTGCTATCAAGAGTCAAACGAAAAAGTATCCCCAACAACACCCAATACAAATATAGCACCGATGCCAAACAATAGTCCTCAGCATTTAGAGATAAATGTCGAAGAAATATAACATAAAATAAACATAACATAAAATAAATAAAATAAATAAAGTTTACTATTTTTATAAAAACATGCATATTTTTATTTAGGTTTTTTTAAAAAAAATGGTATTGTTTTTATTTTGGATGATTTTGATTCGTATTCTATTAAATATTGCCTCAGATTTCTTATATTTATTTCTATCTATATAGTGAGGATATTTTATGGACCTACTAAACAAAAGTACTTAAAACGATGAAATAAAACCTGGTTTGAATGGTTGATCAAAGAAACATTTGGTAGTTATGGCATTCTTTGGGTATTTAGCCAATATATTATTAATAGTTTAATGATTTTGTTTTAATAACTGAAAAAAAGCAATTTATGCTTCATTTTCTTTTTTTTTTTTCTTATTAATTTTGTTTTTATTTTTATATTTAATTTTTTTATTTTTTATTTTTATTTTTTGTTTTAAGCGAAATACACATTATTTTTTTTTTTTAAAAAGGAATTTTTTATTGTGTATCTTATTTTTATATACTTTTTATATAAAAAAAAAAAACAGGATCGGTACGTATCGATTGATTTTAATAGATTGGATGATAAAAATTTAAATTTAAAAAAAAAAAAAAAAATTTTTTTTTTAGATATTTTTATTTTTTATTTATTTTTTTTTTATTTTTTTTTTTAGTTTTGGGTTTATTTTATTATAAAGAAATAGAAAAAAGGTTTAATATAAAAGTGTTTTTTTTTTATAGCAATTTTAATATAATAGGTTTAATAATCTTTTTTTTTATTTTTTTTTTATATTTCAATATTTACATATATTATTATGTATATATAAAAAAAGTAATATTTTTATTTTTGGAAAAACAGTAGCCAGTTCTATATTTATTTACACAACATAATTATTTCCCCCACTTTAAAAAAAAATAAAATAAAAAAATATTATAAAAATTTTTTTTTTTTTTTTTTTTCAAATTTATTAATAATATCACACACATATCGCATTTATATATACAAAAAAAAAAAAGAACAATTAATTTAAATAGACCTTTACATTCATTATTTCATTAATTCAATTTTCATTTATTAATTTCAAATTAAAATAGTTAGATTTAGAATAAAAGCTTAAATAGACTTGTAAAAAAATAATAATAAATAATAAATAAATAAATAAATAAATAAATAAATAAATAAATAAATAAATAAATAAATAAATAAATAAATAAATAATAAATAATAATATAAATTATAAATAAAACCATATATGTAAATTAGTATTTATATTTTTTCAAATTTAATATTTTTGAGGAAATTTCTAAAATTGTAGTATATAAAAAATAAAATAGAAATATAGCACATAGAATTAAAAATGGTTCATTTTAAAAGAAAATCTGAACCAATTTTAAGTAATTTAACTAAAAATAATAAAAATAGTAATAGCAATAGTAATAATAATGATAATAATAATAATTTGGTAACATCAACATCAGCATCTTCATCAACATTAACAATTAACAATAATAATAATACAACAATGTCAACTAATGATATAAATAATGAAAATAATTCAATGTCTAGGAGTACAGGTATTGAAAAGCCAGCATTGCCACCACAAGAGAATAAACCAAAAAGACCATTATCATTCTCAGTATTTACATTGTCACCACCACCACCAACATCAACATCATCTTCAAATTCATTACATTCATCGACAGGAAGTGGCATCAATCGTAGTGGTAGTTGCACCCCACAAAAAAATCAATCACCATCATCCTCATCGCTATCATTATCTCCCCACCCAGTTAATGGATCACCCAAATCATTGCTTGGTTTATCAGGCTCTACAGGCTCTCCTCCACCATTATCGAAATCAACATCAACACATACATTTAAAATGCCACCAAAAACTGGTTCAATGATTTATTCTGTAGTATATGATAAGTAGGTATAGGCATAAATTATTACAGTATAGTCAATACATCCGTTTAACTTTATTAACTTCTCTTATAACTAATAATAATATTAGAACTAGTTCAAATTTAGAAGTTATTGATGAAGAGTTATATAGTAAAATATCAATTCAAAGATTGTTATTGGGCAGAAATAAATTAACAGAGATACCAGAAAGGGTTGGAGAATTAGGAAAGCTTTCAACCATAGATTTATCATATAATAGATTATCGACATTACCCGTTTCATTGTCTGGTTTGTCCGATTTATCAACATTAATTTTAACTGGTAATAAATTTATGATTCCAGCAACCAAAGAAAATTTGGAAATTCAATCAATGAAAAAGCAATTTAATCAACATCAACAGGATCTAAAACCAGAACAGGAGCAGCAGCCAGATTCACAAAACTGTAGCGGTGTTGACAATGAAGCAAATAATAATCAAGAGGTTGAAATATATAATAGTGATGGTCTTACTGAAGAAAAGGATAAATTAAATTCAATTAAAGAAGAGAATGAAATCCAGGAACCAGAACAACCAGAACAACCAGAACAATCAGAACAATCAGAACAACCAGAACAACAAGAACAACAAGAACAACAAGAGAAGCAAGAACAACAAGAGCAAATTAAAGAAAATAAGGAAATATCTAGTAGTGGTATTGAACAACCACCACCAATATCATTAAACCATGAACAATTAAATCAAGGTGGTATTCCATGGGAGCTATGTTATAATTCTAATTTAAAGAAATTAGAATTGGGCTCAAACCAATCAAATGATGATAAATGGGATGGAAGTAATATATTGCCTTCAAATTTATTTTGGTTTACACAAATTGAACAGTTATTAGTACCATTTTGTCAATTACATTCAATTTCTAGTGATATTCAGCACTTAGAATCATTGACACATTTGGATATTTCAAATAATAATCTGACAGAGCTACCAGTTGAATTGGGACAACTTTGCTATCTATCTACACTTATTGCAAATAATAATCAGATTAAAGAATTGCCACAACAATTAACATCACTTTCAGAGACATTAACTCAATTAGATGTATCAGATAATGAAATAGAAAGTATTCCAGAAGATTTTTATTATTTAATGTATTTAGAAAAATTTGATGTATCAAATAATAAAATTAAACATTTACCAGTATCTCTCTTTCAAGGTGTTAATGAAAATTTAGGTTTATTTTCATTAAAGTCATTTAAATGTCGTAACAACCAAATCAGTGAACTTCCAAGCAAATTCTTTTCAACATGTAGCCAATTAACCCATCTAGACCTGTCATTTAATCAATTGACAGAGTTGCCTAATGAAGGTTTGAATTATTTGGAAAACATCTCTACTATTTTGCTATTTAATAACAAGTTAAAATCAATACCAAAAGAGTTATTTGAAGGTTCACCAGATAGCGAGGTACATGTCTCGGGTGACCCAAATGCTATGGACGAAGGTAATATTAAAGAAAATTTAACAACTTTTAATGTATCGGGTAATCAACTTACAGAGCTCCCCGTTAATATTTGGAAATGTAAATCATTATCACAACTAAGTATTGGTTATAATAACTTTAAAGAAATTGTGTTCCCAAGTCAACTGGTATCATATTCACTGGAAGAATTTTACTTAAATGGCAATAGCTCGATTGAGTTTAAAGTTAACCAACCCAGAGTCGGAGCAAATAACAACACCGTGTATCCAGATTTTCCATCACTTAGAGAATTGGGATTAGGCTCATGCAATTTATCCGAGATACCAGAGTTTTGTAAAGATATTAAAAGTATAGAGAAGTTTGATTTATCAAACAATAGAATTAAAAGCTTACCAAATTGGATAGGTGAGTTTGAACATTTACTTGTATTATATTTATCAAGAAATCAATTATCAACATTACCATATGAAGAGTTTCAAAATTTTAAAAATATGATCATTTTAGATTTAGCAATGAACCCAAGTTTAGTACTCGATCAATCATTATATAAACAATTAAAAGACACAACTATTATAACAAGTCCATCACTTAACGAACAGCAAATAGCATCAAAGCTATTGTCAACAACCACCACATCGTCTAATGAATCGGATACACCACCATCACCTATATTAAATAAACATCATATGATAATCACTAAGTCGAATAGATTCGAAATGGTTTATTCAGATATGATTGGTAGAAGACCAACTATGGAAGATTCATTTAGCATTTTTGGTAAATTTAATGACCAAGATGACTATGATTTGGTATCATTGTTTGATGGTCATGCAGGAAATAGAGCAGCAACATACAGTAGTGAATGGTTCCCAAAGATTATGAAAAAATTAATGGATATCTACCCATCGCTTCCACCCCTTCAATGGTTAAAACAAGCATACAGCGAAATATCATTACAATTCAAAATGTATATTAATAATGAAAGACCAGATCTCAAATATTGTGGTGCAACTGCAGCTTCCCTTTTAATCACTCGTGATTATTACTGTGTTAGTAATATAGGTGATACTAGAATCGTACTTTGCCAAAGTAATGGTGTTGCTAAACGTTTATCATTTGACCATAAACCATCACTACCAATGGAAACTAAAAGAATTAATAACTTGGGTGGATATGTAGTATCAAATGCTCATACATCAAGAGTCAATGGTACCCTAGCTGTCTCAAGATCAATAGGTGATATTTATATGGAGCCATTCGTTATACCCGATCCATACCTCTCTCAAACTGTTCGTGACTTTGAATTGGATCAATACCTGATTGTTGCATGTGACGGTATTTGGGATGAAATTTCTGACCAACAAGCTTGTAATATAGTTTTAAATTCTTCATCAATAGAAGAGGCTTGCAATAAACTCAAAGATTTTGCTTATTTTTCAGGTTCTGATGATAATATTTCAGTAGTTTTAATTAAATTAAAAAAATAAAACAAATAATAAAACGCTATAATTATTATTTTTAATAAAAATTATAATTATAATTATAATTATAATAAAATATATATTATACATTAATAATAATAAAGAAAATAAAATTCACTTTGGTTAACCCATTGTGTAAAAGTATTTAGTTTTTTTTTTCTTTTTCATCGGTTAAACCCCATTTTATTTTTAATTTTTTATTTTAAAATTTAAAACTTGAAATTGAAATAAACTCCAATTTAAAAAACTTAAAAATAAAATTGGGAAATAAAATAATCACAAAATAAATTCATTCATAATTTATTTTTAAACAAATATCTATTAAATTTTCGTTGAACAAAACATGGGAATAAATAATATCCTTAAATTAAAATTATATTTGGAGAGTCACACTCACCATATTTCATTATTTTAAAAATAAAAACCTTTACACCTTTACATTTTATTTTCAAAAAAAAAAATTCAAAAAAAATTTCATTTTTTTTTTTTTTATTTTTTTTAATTTTTTTTATTTTTTTTTAAAATTTTTTATAAAAACATAAAATAATTTTTTTTTTTTTATTAATTAAATTATTAAATTAAAAAAATAAATTATATATATATATTCATATTTTTTTTTATTTCTTTATTTATTTTATAAAATAAATAAAATTTTTTAAAAAAAATAAAAATGACATCAGATCAAGCAACAGTTAGAAATAGAAAAAAAGAACAATTAAAAAAAGAGAATAGAGAATTTGATTCGTCAAAAGATGAAGAAACAAGTTCATCCGAAGATGAAAAAAATGAAAAATCAGTATCAACAACCAACAATGCAGATAATTTAAAAGCTACAGATCCACCATCAGCCAAATATAAAAAGTTATTAATTCGTTCAATTATGGGTGCATGTATGATAAGCTTTTTCATTGGTGTCCTTAGTACAGATCATTTTATCGTATCATTATTCGTTATCGCCTTACAATTATTAGTATTCAAAGAGATGATTGCATTAAGATATATTGAAGCAAAAGAAAAGAAAATTCCACACTTTAGAACTCTCAATTGGTTCTTTTTATTCACTTCCTTCTTCTTCTTTTATGCAAAACCAATTTTAATCACATTAGCAAATTATTACCCAGATATTTTCCAACATTTCGTTAGATACCATTTATGGCACTCCTTTTCATTATATTGTATTGGTAAGTAACCCATTATTTATTTATCGAAATGTAATTTTTAATATTAATATTTTATTTCCAATACATTTTAGGCTTTGTTTCATTTATTTTTACTTTAAGAAAAGGTTGTTATAGATATCAATTTTCACAATTAACTTGGACTTTAATGATCTTAATGATGGTCGTAGTTCAATCAAACTTTTTAATTTCAAATATTTATCAAGGTCTCATTTGGTTCATTTTACCAGTTTCAATTATTGTTTGTAATGATATTTTTGCTTATTTCAATGGTTTCTTCCTTGGTAAAAAGTAGATATAATTTATTTAAAACAGGTTTCATTTATGATTTAAAACAATACTAACATATATACCATTTTTTTATTATAGATTCATTAACAGACCATTAATGAAAATCTCACCAAATAAAACTTGGGAAGGTTTCATTGGTGCTACTTTCTGGACTTTATTATTTGCTTATTATTTCTGTGGCTTCTTACTTCAATTTGATTGGGTTGTTTGTCCAAAAGGTGTAAGTATTTTTTAATATTAAAAATATATTGGTTCAATTTAAATGGATTCATTTATTAACTATTAACTTCAATTTAATTATAGAATACAGGTTTTATGGAAACCCTTCATTGTCAAAGAGATCCAGTTTTCATTGAAAAAGATTTCATTTTCCCACATGAAGTTTCAACCATTGCTTCAAAATATGTAAATATTAATATAATTATAGGACCAGGTGAAATTAAAAATAATGTTTTCAAATATTAATTCAAATTTTTTATATTTTAATAATAACAATTAGTTTGGTATCACATTACATTCATTTAAATATATTCCAATTCAATACCATGCTTTAGTTTTAGCATTGTTTGGATCATTAATTGCCCCATTTGGTGGATTCTTTGCCTCTGGTATCAAGAGAGCATACAAAGTTAAAGATTTTGATACTATCTTCCCAGGTCACGGTGGTGTTACTGATAGAACCGACTGTCAATTTATTATGGGTCTCTTTATTCATGTTTACTATTTAACTTTCATCAAAACCCTCGAATTTGACCCAACCGTTATTTGGCAAGGTATTACAATGTTACCATTAGAAGAAAAAATGGTTATTTACGAAAAATTAAAACAATCAATAGAGTTTACAACTGGTACATTAACCAATTAAAATAATATAATAATATTAGTATTTTTAGTCTCCATTCTTTGTTTTTTTAACCACTTTTTTTTATATTATTAATATATAATAGTATAACCCATTTTTTTTTTTTTTATATTTAAAAATACTCGACACTAGGAATAAAAATAAATAAAAATAAAAAATTACAAAATATAATTAAAGAATTATTTCTTTTTACTTTTATTTGTTTTAATGATACTATTTATAAAATGATCACTACGATTTATATACATGATAGTTTTAAAGGGGAATGGTTTAGTTTTATAATATAATATATATTTTAAGCTCTGTTTGGATTGTTGTTGTTTTCATTGATTTTGTAAAAGCTAAATTATGATCAAAAAAAAAGAAATTAATTATTACTGCGATAAAAATAGAATAATATATATTTAAAACTTACAAGTCAGATAGCAAACCTGTACCAATTTTTTTAATAGATGTTGCAGAGTATTTTTGGAAATTAGAAGGTAACTTGTTTACAGATTGACATGGTCTATTATTTAAATCCCTACCAGCAAATGCAACCATTAGTTTGACTTGGCAACCATTATTGGTTCCATTATTAGCAAATACAGCATCACATGCCATATCTCCATAATTTACTGCACATTGATTGTCGATACAAGAGTCACAGGATTTACAAATTTGAGGTAATCTATCACCGTCCCATATAGCATCAATGATATTACCCCTATCAAGCTGAATTACAATAGCGAAATAATTTACAAATGTATTTTTGTTGACATCAATGATGTTCTTTGGTGGTAATGTTAAAGGTACTGTTTCTGTTTTATTAGTTATAACAGTCTCTTTAAAAGTAACTGGAGCTGTTCCATTAACTGGGGTAGAGCATTCGGTATTGTTTAATCTTGTTCCATTAACTACACATGGAGAATCTAAAATTTCAGATACAAATGTTGTAATATTCTTTTTTACAGGTAATTCTACCCATATTTGCCATCCGGGCCAACGACTAATACCATTACCACCCCCTGTTATAATATCGCCACTTGATCCATCATTTGAAGAGTTTTTTGATTTTAGTTCTTTAAATATTAAATTTTGTGTGTTTGGTACCCTAAATGTTGTAAATTCATCGCTGTACAAAGAGAATAATGATTTGTTAAAATGAATTCTAAAGAAATTATTATTTTGAAAAATATTTATTTACTTACACTCTTGGATGAATATTAATTTCTCCTGTAAAAAGACTTTCATTTGAACGTAAATATACCTTAAGTATACTCCAATCATACCTTTGGTATACACGTATATTTTTACTTGCAATTATATTTGTTTCGTTAAATGGTCTTGTTAATCCTGTAAGTGAAACTATACCCGTTGCTAAAGAGGCACCATGAATAATTTGTGATTTAGCTATATTTATATAGCCTATTATTATTAGTAATTGTAATACAATATATATTATTTTCATTTTTTTTAATTTGAATTGTCGTTTTGTTATAGCTATATATTTAAAAAAAAAAAAAAATAATAAAAAAAATAATTTAATAAAAGAAATAAAAAAAAATAAAAAAAATTCTATTTATTTAATAAAAAAAACACAAAAACAATAATAAATTATTTTTAGAATCAATAATTATATTAATATATATAAATAAATAAATTAATATATAAATAAATAAAAAAAATAAAAAAAATAATTTTAAATTATAATTTTTTTAACCCCCACCAACACAAATCAAAAATTTAATATTTTTATTTTTTATTTTTATATTTTATATATTTTTTTTTAATTAAGCCTATAACCACTTTAGCGTTGTCTTTTAATTTTAAAAAATAAAAAAAGTTATCAAATAAATAAATCATATGAAAAAAAAAAATAGTTTTGATAAAGTTTTATTTTATTTATTTAAATTTCGGAATGGGTGTAAAATATTTTTTTCATTAATATTTTTATATGAGAAAAATTTGAGTGAGTATAAATATAAAAAAAAAAATTGATTTAGGCCATATTTGGATTGTTGTTGTTTTCATTGATTTTGTAGAAGCTATTATAAAAAAAAAAATATTAGTATTAATATTTTTATAATTAAATTAAATAAATTAATAATTTTAAATGAAATACATACAAATCTGAAACAAGACCAGTACCAACTTTTTTAATTGATGTAGAACTGTATTTTTGGAAGTTTGATGGAATTTTGTTAATTGATTGACATGGTTTATTGTTTTTATCTCTACCAGCCCAAGCAACCATAATTTTCAATTGACAACCATTGTTAAGTGGTTGATCTTCAGTTGGATCGCATTGCATATCATCATAATTTACACCACATTGACCATCGATACATGAGTCACATGATTTACAAATTTCTGGTAATCTATCACCGTCCCAGACGGCATCAATAATTCTACCTTTATCTAATTGAACAACGATAACAAAATAATTTACAAATGTACGAGAATTAATATCGATAATATTCTTTGGTGGTAATGTTAATGGGATGGTCTCGGTAGAGTTTGAAAGAACATTGGTGGTATAACTAACTGGTGGTTCTTCGCTTCCTTCTGCTTGGCACTCTTTAGCATCTGATCTTACACCATCAACTTCACATGGTACTGTAACTGGTTGGGTTGTGTAGGTTACAATTGTTTTTCTTGCAACAAGTTCAGCCCAAATTTGCCAACCTGGGAAATAAATATCACGATCTTTGCTACCTGTAATGATATCATCGCTACTTTCGCTATAATCTTTATTTGGGTCTCTGAGATCTTTAAATATTAAACTTTGTGTATTTGGTACTCTAAATGTTGTAAATTCATCACTAAATAAAAATAAATAAAAAAAAAAGTTAATATATAATTTTATACAATTTGTGTGTTTGTTTTTATACCTACACTCTTGGGTGAATATCAACCTGGCCTAAGAATTTAGTTAAATTTGATCTAATATTGATACGCATATAACTCCAATCATATCTTGAGTAACTTCTTATATTGGAATCTAATGTTAAATTTTCGGGTTTGAATGGGTTACTAATACTACTTACAACACCAAATTGAGTATTTTCACCATTAAAAATTTGTGAATTGGTAAATGCTATATATGAAAAAATTGATAATAATACAATTATAAATTTCATTTTTCTTTTTTTATTATTTTATTGTGGTTGTATATGTGGGGTGATTGAGATACGGTATAAAATAAATAAATAAATAAAAAAACAAAAAATAAAAAGTTTAACTACTATAAATAAGAAATTATTTATTTAAATAAATTATTTTACAATATTATATATTATTATTGTTTTATTTATTTGTAAAATTTTAGAAAAAAAAAAAAAAAAATAAAAATTACACAAACAAAAAGAAAATAATGATATGTTAAATATAAGTGTGTTTTTTGTTTGGATGTAATTATAATAGTTGATAATACAATAAATTAGAAAAAAGAAAAAAGAATTTTTTTTTTTTATATGGAGGCACAAATCGTTGAAAAAAAAAAAAAAAAATTAAAATATTTTAAAAAAAAAAATAAAATTAAAATATTTTATTTTATTTTTTTTTAATTTTTTTTTTTATGTGGTTTTGAATTAAAACAAATCAGTTTGACAACGTATATAGTGTCAAATAAAAAAATTAAAAGAAATCGATTTTGAAAAAAATTATTACTTAAGCACAAATTTTATTTTATTTTATTTTATCTTTTATTATTTATGATAAAAATATTTTTTGTGGTGTGGTGTGTGAAATCAAATTTTTTTTTATTTTTTTTTTTTTTTGTAATTATTACAATAATGATTGTTTTTATTTCTTGTTTATTTTTTAAATTAATTTTCTTAAATTATTAAAAAGTTTTGAAGTTATTTTTGTTGTAATAATATCGTTGTATGATTCAAAAATGCTTATTATTGAAAGATGATTATTTACAAAAATGATATCCTTTATAATTTCATTACATTTATCTATATAAATGTGTTCTAATGAATTTGGTAGTGGTAGTCTGTAAGTTGGTTTAGCATTTCCCCTAATTACAAGATATTTGAGTGATGGTGGTAAAATTGTGCTACTTAGTAATGGTATTGTAAAAACAGATCCATGAAATCCGAAATGTAAATCTAATAACACCAGGCTTGAGGGAAATGGTGATATATTTGATTGAGTAAAGATTTCTAAAAGTTGAAAAGTATGCTTACTATCCAATCTACATGATTTTAAATGAGTTGCTTTTTTAAGATCTAAAGTAGATTTTTCCTGTTGTTTTGGTTTTGGTTTTGGTTTCGGTAAGCTCTCTGAGCCACTGCTAGATTCATCGTCACTGCCATAGCTCTTTTGGCTTTTATTATCAATACTAGAGCTACTACTGCTTCTACTATATCTTGGACCTTTATCTTGATCGGAATTGATTTTAAAATCACCAACTTTGTATGATGGTAAATTGTATCCTATTACATAGTATTGGTGTGAAAAATAAACTTCCTGCATAATTTCAAAATTTATTAAATTATCTGATATTGGAAGAGTGATGTTCTGATTGGAGCTGTTTGAATACTTGAGTGAGGTTAAATTTGAAAATTTTTCGAATATATTTAAAGCTTTAGTATTTCCATCAGTCTCTTCTTTATAGTTCGAAATTAATAACTCCCTAATGTTCTCAGGATTTTCAAATCTATTTGAAATATGTTTGAGATCACCTTGAATATTTGTAATACTTGCAGGAAAACCTCTTTCAAAATTTTCTTTTTTTATTTGAATATCAGGAGAAAGCTTTAAGCTTATTATAGTTGGTGGCAATAAATCTATATCTAAAATTCTATCTAAAAGATAATCATGTTGTATAAAATGAAGATCTAGCTTTTTTAATGATGTTGGGAACTTAGTGCTATTTTCTGAATTGTTATTAACATTGTTTTTATTATTATTATTATTAGTGTTATTATTATTATAATTATTGGTGTTGTTATTATCATTATAAGTGTTATTTATTAAATAACAAGTATTATAAAAATAAAGTGATGTAATTAGTTTTTTGAGATTCGTAGCTGAATAATTAATTTTCTTTGGTAGTCTTTTTGTGTGATCAAAGAAAACTGATAACTTTTGAATGGTAGGTGGTAAAAATTGTAAAATTGAAGGATTATAATAATAGTACCCTTGTTTCAAACCAATTTTCAAAGATCTTAGTTTTGGTGGGAAATAAATAGTAGATTGAATATAATCTATGAAAATTGATAGTGATTCTAAACTATCTGGAAGGATTCCTTTTGTAATTTGGCCATGAATAACATTACGGATGGTAAGATGTCTAAGATTTGATGATAGGTATTTTTCTCTTAATAATGTTTCGCTATTGTATCCAATCTTTAATGAAACTAGATTTTCGAATGGATTTTTTGAACCTGATTTAAATAATTTATTGAACAATGAAGAATCTTGAACATAAATATTACCAAAATTAATTTCTTTTACTGTTTTTGGAATTTCTAAGTCTCGTATATCTATTTTTAATTCATTACTGTAATTTACACCCATATTGAACCCATTTCTAAACTCTACACTCTCAATACTGCTTGGTAATCTTTTAAACAATTGATATAACTCTTCTTTGGTTGGATCTCCAAGTAAAATAATTGACTTTAAATTTTCTTTTTCGAAAGATACATAAAAACTAACAATATTTTTAAAAAATCTTTTATTATGATAATGATCATAAACTTTATTATAGAATTTTAGATATTTTAAAATATTATTTCTGATTATTGAATTGTGCCATGTTAAATAAAAAAGCTTTTCAGTATTATTATTATTATTACTATTAATTGAACTATTATCACTGCTATTATTATTATTACAATTGTTATTATTATTATTATTATTATTATTGTTATTGTTTTTGTTTTTTTTTTTGCTTATAATTATATCTTTTTTATTTTTCATTTATAAATATTTATTTAAAAAGTTTATTTTTATAAATAAAATAAAAAAAATAAAAAAAAAAAATAATATCTTTTTTTTTTAAAACAAACACACAAAAAATTAATTTTTCTATTTTTTTTCTATTTTTTAAAATTTTAAAATAATAAATTGAAAATGATTCATTCTTGCCCTTAATTTTAATATTTTTATAGTAATTATTTTAATATAATTTTTAAAACCATTGCGCTTCGATATAAGTTTTTTGTTTTTTGTTTTTATTTTTTTTTTTTTTATTTTTTATTTTTTTAATTTTTTTAATTAAATTATTTTTTTTATTTTTTTTTCGTATTTTTGTTTTGTGTAATAATAAAAATGAATAATATAGATTTAAAAAAGATAACAGTAGACGATTTAAAAGAGTTACAAATAATTGGGAAAAAAACTTTTTATGAAACTTTTAAAGATGGAAATACAGAAGCAGATATGGTAAAATATTTACAAGAGGGTTTCGAAGATCAAAAACTAATAAAAGAAATTCAAAATGAAAATTCAGAATTTTATTTTGCAATTGACAGAGAATCTGATAATGCAGTTGTGGGTTATTTAAAATTAAATATAGGTCAAGCACAAACCGAAATTAAAGAGAACAACAGTTTTGAAATTGAACGAATATATGTAATTCAAGAGTATCACGGTAAAAAAGTGGGTCAAGTTTTATTTAACAAGGCATTAGAAATTGCAATTAATAATAATAATATAGAATATATATGGTTGGGTGTTTGGGAAGGTAATCCAAGAGCAATACAATTTTATAAAAAGAATGGATTCATAGAATTTGATAAGCATATTTTTGTGTTGGGTAATGACGAACAAATTGATATCATGATGAAATTGGTATTAAAAAGATAAGATAAAATAAAATAAAATAAAATAAAATAAGATAAAATAAAATAAAATAAAATAAAATAAAATAAAATAAAATAAAATAAAATAAAATAAAACTAATCAGATTCTTTTATTTTTCTTTTTTTTTTTTTTTATTTTTTTTTATTTTTTTTTTTGAGTAAAAATTGTTGTTATTACTATAACCGTTATTCCCAAATGCGATATTTTAAAGAAAAAAATAAAATTAAAAATTAATTTTTTGGTTAATTATTTTTTCAAAAAGCAGCAAAAGCAAACAACCCAACATTAATCGTTCTGATAAAATTTTCTAATCCAACAAAATTATTTTAAAAAAAAAGAGAAATTTTTTAAAACACCCAGATTTTAAATTAAAATAATATTTTTATGACATTTTTTCGACATTTTCACTTACGCACTTTATTATATTAACAATGTGTATTCCCTAATTTTCAGGATTGATCTTTTTTTTTTTTTTTGTTGATTTTTTACCTTTTTTTTATTTTTTTGTTTTTATTTATAAAAAAAAAAAAACAAATAATAAATAATAAATAATAATAAATAATAATTTTTAATATTAATTGTTATATTAAATAATAATTTTCTTTGGGAAATATGCCACCAAGAGGAGGTGTATATAACCCACATTCAAGTGGTGGTAGAGGTAGGCCAAGTCCATCAAGCAGACCAAGCTCAAATAGTAGACCAAGCTATTCAAGTAGTAGATCAAGCTCATCAAGTAGTAGACCAAGTACATCAAGTAGTAGACCAAGTGCATCAAGTAGTAGACCAAGTACATCAAGTAGCAGTAGCAGTAGACCAAGCTCATCATTTGGTAGTAGTAACACCTCTTCATCATTTGGAAAAACAACAAGTAGTGGTTTTAGTTCTAGTAGTGGTGGTAGCAGTGGCATTAGTAGTGGTTTTGGTTCCAGTAGTGGTATTGGTTCTAGTAGTGGTGGTAGCAGTGGCATTAGTAGTGGTGCTTCATCAAATAAAGCACAACAAATTCTCGGTATACAAGGTAATCGTGTTCATGCACACCATGATCGTTGGGACCGTATCCATGGTTTTTCTACTGGTACTTCTACTGGTACTTCCACTGGTACTTCCACTGGTACTTATAGTGGTACTTCTACTAGTATTTCTACTGGTATTTCTAATGGTACTTCTACTGGTATTTCTAGTGGTATTTCTAGTGGTACTTATAGTGGTACTTATAGAGGAGGTAGGAGAACAAATAACACTGATTACCAACCGACCTATAAAAAAGAAAAATCCTTAGTTGTTGGGTAAGTACAATTATCTTTTTATTTTTTTATTTCTAAATTTAAAAAACTAATTAACTGTTTCTATTTAATTTTAATTTAACAAAGTTACTTTTTATTAATTTTTTCTGGTATGTAATTGTTAGATGCTCAAATTATGTTTTTAAAAAAATATTAATATTTTAAAAAAAAAAATTTAGGTTTATTTGGGTTTCATAGATTATATTTAGAAGATTACGATTATTTTGTAATTTATATGTTTACACTTTCTATTTGTGGGGTTGGATTTTTTGTAGATTTATTTTATTTACCAACAATGATTAAAAGATATAATAAAAAGGTTAAAAAGCAAAAAGATATTATTTCACGAACTGGTACCGAAGGGGAAATGAAAACAGTACCACCTCAAGAACAATCAATAGAGCTACAATCAATTTCTCAAGATACAGGTACTGGAGTACCTCTTGAGTTTAGAGGTGAAGGATATAGAACTCAAACCTTACCTCAATCGGAACCACTTCCTTCAGCTCCTCCAGAATCCATAGTTTCTTGTGATAATCAAAATTATTTATATCAATACGAAGAGGCAGAAGATAACATTTATGTACCCGAAATGGATACTATAGAACCAATATCAATTGAAAGCAATATCGAAACTGACACCTTTGTAGCAATGCCCAATTATAGAAATAACGACACCAATGCTCCTGAGGGTAATGATATAAACATTCCAACAGATAACGGTATAAACCAACCCTTCAATTAAAAATATTTCAATAATAAAATAAAAATAATATAAATAATAATATCAATTTGTAATAAAAAAGTGGAGTGTAATCACTTTGGCACAACACCGCTCATTTTTTTTTTTTTTTTAAGAAAAAAAGATATTTTTTTAAAGTGTTTTCTCAATATTTTATATTTTTTATATTTATTGTTTATTTTTATTTTTATTTTTATTTTTATTTTTATTTTTGTTTTTGTTTTTATTTAATAAATAAAATGTCACTGTTTTTTTTTTATTTATAATTTTTTTTTTTTGACATGTACATTTATTTTCTATAAATTATAAACATATTATACAAACAATAATTTAAAAAACAACTAAAATAAAAATAATAATGGCAAGAAGGAGTAGAGGCAGAGCAAGATCACATAGATCTGGTAGATCAAAGGCAAGATGCAGTAAATCGTCAACAGGACGAAAGTGTAAAAGCACATCGTCCTTTGGCTCGAAAAGAACTAAAAGCTTTGGAACAGGGAGAAGTATTTTAGGTAGAAGACGTACTCAAAAAAGAAGCGGAGCTAAAAGTGGTGATTTCCCTAAACCACAATATAGAAAAGAGAAATCATTAGTAAAGGCGTAAGTTTTAAAAAAAAAAACATTTTACATTAATAATTAATTTTTTTTTATTATCTTGAAATAGTTATATTATTTGGTTTTTTACCGGTAGGTACAAGATTGATTGATTTAACATTTACCCACTACTATTTTTATACTAACACTTTCTTTAATAAAGGTATTTTCGGATTCCATAGATTGTATTTAGAAGACTATGAATTCTTCTTTATCTTTTTAATTTCTGCTGGAATTTTTGGTGTGGGCTTTATTGTGGATTTGTTTTATTTACCTACATTGGTTAGAAGATATAATGAAAATGTTAAAAAACAAAAAGATATCATTTCACAAAACCTAGAAACTGCAAATACCCAACAACAACAACAAGCAGAGGTCGAAATAATGAGTTTAGAAATTGCATTACAAAATAAACAATTAGAAGCAACAACAACAACTACAACTACAACAAACTACATACCGCCCATAGGACCACCATTGCTATATAAAGAATATCCCCCACCAACCCAACCACCAACTGATAATAATCGATTAGAGATTATTCCTATAGATTGCAGTGGCGATAATCACCATCCTGATTATACATACCAAAATAATGCAAATAATATCGAAATGGATTCATTTGTTCCCAATACAAAAAACTATAATGATTAAAACAAAATAATAAAAAAAATAAAAAAAATAAAAATAATAAAACATACTTATTATTTTTATAACTTTTATTATTTATTATTTATTATTTATTATTATTTATTATTTATTATTATTTATTATTTATTATTTACTATTTACCATTTACAATTATTATTGTTTATAACAAAATTTTCAAATAAATTTTAAAAAAATCATTATTGTAATTGATTAAGAAATGAAAATCGTGATTTTTTTTTTTTTTTTTTTTTAATTTTTTTTTTTTTCAAATATTTTTTATCATAAACAAAAAAAAAATTATTTGAAAATTTAAAAAAAAAAATGGCAGTTGAAAAAAAAAAAAATAAACAATTATTTTAGTCCATGATAACGACATTTTTTCACGTAATAACTGAATCAATGCCAATGAAATTATAAAATTTAAAAAAAAAAAAAAAAAATGAAATGTTTTTTTTTTTTTTTTTTTTTTCATTTAATTTATTTTTATTCATACACACACATATATTTATAAAAAAAAATCTTATAGATATATTTTTTTTTTATTTTTTCAAAAAACTATTTTAAAAAAATTTTTAATTTTTTAATTTTTTTTTATTTTAATTTTTTTTCATATTATATATATAATCAGTAAAATAATAAATATCCCAATTGTATAGTTATATATATAAAATCAAATTAATAAATAGTAATAATAATTATTTAGAGAATGAGTGATAACAATACTACAGTCGAACCAATCGTTGGTGAAGAGTCACATCAAGAAGTTAAAGTTGATGGTGCTGCTGAAAGCCAACAAATCAAATCTGAAACTGTTGAAGAATCAAAATCAGTTGAAATTAAACAAGAAGAATCTAAACCAGAAGAATCTAAACCAGTCGAAGCTGAAGAGCCAAAACAAGAAGAATCTAAACCAGTTGAACAAGCTGCTGAAGAAGTTAAACCAGTTGTTGAAGAAACTAAACCAGCTGCTGAAGAACCAAAACCAGTTGAACAAGCTGTTGAAGAAACTAAACCAGTTGAAGAAACTAAACCAGTTGTTGAAGAATCTAAACCAGTTGAAGAAGTTAAATCAGTAGAAGAATCAAAACCAGAAGAAACCAAACCAGTTGTTGAAGAAACTAAACCAGCTGAAACTGAATCTAAACCAACTGAAGCATCAGAATCTGAAGTTAAACCAGCTGAATCCGAAGCTAAAGAAGAAAAATCTACTGAAGAAAAAGCAACTGAAGAAAAGGTTGTTGAAGAAATTAAAGTTGAATGTAAAGTTGTTACAACTGAAGATGGTCACACTGAAAATGATCTTTCAGTTTACTTCAAACATCCAAACTTCCATATGGCTGGATGGATTGCTACTCACATTGCAATTAAACATGTTTACAATTTACTTTACAAAAAACTTAAAGTATTTGTCCCAGAAAATAGACAAGAAATCCTTGATATTGCTAAAGCTGTAACCTCATGTGGCGAATATTTACACCATCACCACGATCACGAAGAAGAACTCGTCTGGGATTGGTTAAAGGAAAAGAAACCAGAATCTAAAGAATTCTTAGGTACTATGGATCACCAACATGGTGATTGGGTCCAAAAGAATAAAGAGATTTCCGACCTCATCACTTCCATCAAAGAAAATGAAAATCTTAAAGATTCAACATCAGAAGGTTGGTCAGAAACTCTCGAAAAGCTTCAATCCAATATTAAAAACCAAATCGCTCTTATCTATGAACATTTTTATGATGAAGAACGTTTAATTCTTCCAATTGCCATCAACATTCCAAAAGCTGATCAAATTAAAATTGGTGATATCATTCACGAAAGAATTAAAAAAGAATCAAGTGGTAAATTTGGTTTAGGTGCTATGCTCGATGCTTCAAATCACAACAAAGCTATGGCTGATTCCTTAAATAAAGCAATTCCATGGTTTGTTAGAAAAGTAATTTTCCCATTAGCTATTAAAAAGGATTATAAATGGTTCACCTCAGTTGTAGAAATTAAAGAAGCTAAACCAGTCAAAGAAAAGAAACCAGCCAAAGAAAAGAAATCAACCACAACTACTACTACTACCACCACTGAAGCTGCTGAAGCAAAAGAAACCACAACTACTGAAGCTACTACTGCTACTGAAACTAAAGAAACCGCTACAACTACTGAGGCTGCCACTACCACCGAAGCTAAAGAAACTACTGAGGCTGCTGCTCCATCCACTACCGATGCAAAAGAAACTACTGAAGCTGCTCCATCTACCACTGAAACCAAAGAAATAACTGCTGAATCCTCACCAGCTACCACCACCGAAACCAAAGAAACTGCTGAAACTACAACTGAATCCACCCCAACTCCATCAGAAGAAACTGCTACCGAAGCACCAAAAGAAATTGCCCCAGTTGCTGCTGCTTAAACACTCATAGTTTTTTAGTAGTATAGGAAAAAAAAAATATCTCATTCAACATATACTTTAAATTCTAAGTGTATGATTTCAAACCTTTAAAAATGCTGTAATTTATAAAAAAAAAAAAAAATAAAAGAAAAAATTTAAAAAAAAAAAAAAGAAATAATTTTATAAGCAATGTTTTTATTTATTTAAAAACCTAAAATTTTTATTTTTGTAGAAAATAATGTTTTATATATATTTAGGATATAAAGATTTAAACATTTCTTTTTATTTAATTATTATTTATTTTTAACAAATTTCATATTAACAATTTGTAATTTTTTTTTTAGTTTCATAAATAAAATAGAAAAAAAAAAAGTCCAATATGATTTATATTATTATTAGTATTTTTTATTTTTTATTAATGAATGTTAACAAAATAGTCAATATATTGTTTATTCAATATAAAAAAATTAGATTTTATTTTACAAAAAGTAAATAAAAAAGTTTTTTAATTTTAAAAAAATCAAAATTATTATCAAAAATATTTTATTAATTTTTTAAAAGGATATAGTTTTTATAATAATTTAAAAAGAATATTGGAATGGAAAAATATATATAGTATTGAAGATTATGATCTAAAAGGAATTACTGACTTATTGTTTAATAGGGAGTTCAATAAAGTGTGTATTATTATTTGGAATAATAACGAGCTTTCCAGAAGGGTTAAAATCAATCATCCAATCAAAGGATCTATAGAGCTAATGAAGCAAAATATTGGAAATTTAATTATAAATAGAGGAGGTAACACATTATCTACAAAAACCAATGTTTTCTTTTTCAACACTTATCATCAAATGATAATTTGTTTTAGTGATATCTATTTAACCCAACCATGGTTAAGAAAAGAAATAAGCTATAATGATATTGCCACTCTTTATTTTGTCTCTAAAAATGAAAAAAATGTCTCACAACCTGTATTTGACTATCATCCAATCCCATTCTCTTGTTTATATATTAATGAAAATAAAGATACCTATAACCCAAACATTTATGATATAAAATCCAATGAAAATAAAAATGAAAAAAAGAAATAGAAATAAAAGTGAAGTAAAAAATAATAAAAATAAAGATCTTAATTTAGTAAAAAATTTAATTTTGTATTTCTTTATTTATATCTTTATTTTAAATTGGTTCTAAAAACAAGTTCTTATTATCGATTGTAGTTATACAATCTTTATTATATATATATACCAGTTGGTCTATTCAATCTTTTACACATATCAACTGTGGCAGGAGTGTCAGGAGTGTCATGATTATCTCTTGTGGGGCAGTTTCTATATTTTTCATACCAATCACTGTGTCCAATAATCTCTTTTAATTTCTAATCCGATTCGAGGTAAGCTTGTGTGCTTTTAATGGCTCATCCATATAATCTCCACCTTTAATAAGTTTTTTTTTTTTTTAATTATTATTATTTGTTTCTGTTATTTTGAAAATATAAAGAATGATTGGAAAAAAAAAAAAAAAAAAAAAAAAAATTTTTTTCAAAATTTTTTTAAAAAAATTAAATTAAAACCCCACCACACACAATTTTTCATTTTTATAAAAAAATTAATTAAAAAATAGCTAGAACTGTTTAGTTATTCCCATAAAATATTTAGATTTCATTGCTGCATATAAAAATAATTTTAAAAAAATATTAATTAAGAAATATTAAGCTATCAGGAATTCAATAGCCTAGCAGATGCTCAGCTTTTTATTTTCTTCAATAAAAAACTTGTTTCAAGTTTTTTATTTTTGTTGTGTTATATATATTTGGTTTGTGTTTTCATTTGGTATACAAATATTTAAACTTTTCAGAAGTTTTTATTTGTTTTTGTGTTATTGTGTTTTGGTTTGTGTTTTAAAAAACTTGTTGGGAGTTTTTTATTTGTATTGTGTATTCGTTTTACCGGATTTATCTTTCCGGTGATTATAATTAAAATATCAACTTATATTAATAAATAAAAAATATATTTTATATTAATATATTTTATATTAATATATTAATATATTAATATATTTTTTATTTATTTATATTTTTTAATAATTTATAAAAATAAATAAAAATAAATAAATAAAATTTTTTTTTTTTTTAAAAAAATAAATAGATAATAATAAATTTCTTTTTTATTTTTTTAAAATTAAATTAAAATTTTTTTTTTTTCTTAATTTTATAATATTTATAATAATTATATATATAAGTTTATATGCTAATCACTTTTGTTTTAGATATTAATGAATATGATGGCGGTGGCTGTGAACAAACATGTAATAATTTAATGGGTTCTTTGAAATATATTTGTGATCCAGGAAATATATTAGATTTAAAAATGCACTTATGGCAGGTTGGGATCATATCTTGGCATTGTTTTCATTTAGTAATTTTAAGGTAATTATATATAAGTTTAATATATTAATTCATTTTTTATTTTATTAGGGTAATAATCAAATCCCTCCAGAATATTTTATTCAATAAAAATAATATAAATAATATTAAATAAAAAAAAAAAAAAAAAGAAAAAAAAAAAAAATTATTAAAAATAAATAAGAGATTAAAGAAAATAATAGTTTTACACCAAACACATATCAAATCACCAATAAAAGAATTTATAGAATTTAAACCATCATCCTCTTCTAGCTCTGACAACGAAAAACTCTCTAAAATTATATCTGGCCAATTTAATTTTGTAAATCCTTTAGAAGATGAAAGATATACAGTCGAAATAAAAAGAAAAAGATATTTCAATATTTGGTCCAATTCATAATAATCAAATTATCATATTATTTATAATTTACTACAAAATATTTACCAACATTAATCACTAATATCGATGTTATTTGATGGAAAAGCCTTGACTTTAAATTAACTAGTAAAGCAGATCCAATCATAGATAACCAATCCATATTATAACTAAATTAATTATTTATAAATTTATTAAAATAGTCATTTTATAAATCAATTATAATAATTAATAGTTTAAAAATCAATATAAATTATTAATTGTAATAGAAGATACAATCACAATTGTGCAATATCAGCAAAAATCAAACAAGACATTCGAAAAGGTAATGGGTTTGCCAATAATAGATGATAACTGTCCTGCTTCCAAGCTCCAGTTCAACGTTCATGAATTATACTATTATTAGCCAAAGAGGAAAATTAAAATCCAAAAAAAAAAAAAGAAAAATAATAAAAAGTTATTTAATAACAATTTATTTATTAAACATCTTATTATAAAGAATTCTTTTATTTTGAGTTTTATGTTACTTTATTTTAGACTTTAGGTAAAATGGACGAAAATTGAGAAGGCAGCTTCGATTTGTTTAATTTTTGCTTGTTCCAAATTTCACCAGAGGACTTTTTCATTAGCTTTGATTTTTCCTCGAGAAACAGCTGGGTCGAACCATCCCTTGATTAATAATTTTTGAAACCAATTGTCTACTGTTGATTTTGGCTTCATCGGAAACATATTTGCTAGATATTGAAACGCATTACTTTAAATACCAGTAAGGAGAGAATCTGGATGTTAAAAATTTAAAAAATTTATTAAATCCCCAGATATTAAATATTTCTAATTGCTCAAGGCAAATAAATTTGATCTAAAACTATTTGATGTCAAATATAATTATATTCAAATAATCTAATTGAGAATATTAATTGGAACATATTGTATCTAAAATATCACTATTATTATTATTTTTATTATTACTATTATGGTATCTAATTTAATTTTTTTATTTTGGTTTACTGAGTTAATTAGTTCTGTACTCTAGAAGATGGTTTGGTAAGTGAAAGTTGGTAGAACTGCAGATTTAATACAACCACCAAAGGCATTATTACTGGCACTGACCAAAGAATTTAATTCAATACTCTTCTTTTTTAAATAATTATTTTTCTAATGAAATGCATTTTTCTTTTAATTAGGAAACCTATATTGACTGATCCTTCATTTAAAATTTTTGGTAGAATATAAAAGTAATTATTATTATAAAAGTAAATTCAATAAATGATGATAAATTTAATAAAAATAAAAAAAAAAAAATTCAAATAAATTAATTTTTTTATTTTTTTTTTAATTTTTTATTTTTCTTAAAATAATTCTGCATCACCATAAACATTATTTTCTAAAAATAATTCTGTGCCACCATAAACATTATTTTATTATAATCTAAATAAAAATAAAAATAAAACAACAATATTGTAATGTCATTCATTAGTTTTTAACTATGAAACAGGTTTAAAGAATATCATGATGATTTAAAATAAAAATTTATTACACACCAGAGAATTATCCAATTGCTAAAAAAAATAAAATAACATTCATATATCCTGATAATAGAGCAAATTAAAAGAAGGATACCGTTTATTAATTAGATTCTTTGGAAAGTAATAGTTACCACAAAAATTTTGCATTACCTTCAATTAAGAGTTGCTGAATCAAAAAGTAAGTTTATACACATTTATATCATAATATACCTATTTATTTACAAAATAATATAAATATTAATTAATTTTTCATTTTATTTTTAGATATTGATTTTATTGGACCACTAGTTTCAGATTTAAAGATAGTAGAATCACAAAATGAAAATAAAATATTGTATGAATTGGAAATTACAGATAGTTTAAATGGTATTAAAAAATGATTTTTTTTAGCTCGTGGTACAATTGATATTACCGAAAGAAATATTGCAATAAATCCATCCAATTTGTATACCGGTAATATATATTAAGGTGGTTATTTTGTAGAGATTCGTTTTAACAGTCCATGCCACTCTCAATCATAATTTGAAATTGTATTTTAGCATTGTTTGATGTTGTACCATCACAAACCGAGTCAATTTTAAGATTAACTGGCCTAATAAATGTGAATATTAATAACAATAATATCATAAAAAGAGAACAGAGAATATTGGAGATCAAAAATAAAGTATTATGTAAAGACCAAGTATACACTGTCTGGAAATCTATTACTTTTTTTCTTGATTTCACCAGATTTCAAGTTTATTGAAGAATTCAACAAGTTAGAGGATAAGTATCACCATACCCCAAAGATTCAACCATATAGCAAAGCTAACCACTGATAATGTGAACAATCAGCAATTAGAATCATTATATAGCATAGTCAAAAAATTAATCTACCAAATAATATTTCCTCATAATGATCATTGGGAACTACGATTATAAATAAATTAAATACCATCTTTTTTTTTAATTAAAAAGATTAACCCTTTTGATAAAAAAAAACCCCAGTCTTTGATAAATTCATATAAAGACCCAAAAAAAAAAAAAAAAAAATACTTTCATTTAATTTTTTTAATTTTATTTCCTAATATTAAAAAATATGAACACTAAAGTTTTGTTTTATTTATTACAATACATAACAGATGGTGTTCCTTGGAATTCTTTACACTCTGGGAAAGGTACGCTATGAGACCAAACACTAGTTGTGCATTTTTCACTGGATAAATAAAGAGATTCGGTGAAACTATTTGAGTTGCAATCGGTTGTTTCAGTTGAACCTAATACAGATTGTATACATGTGTTTAAATTGTAATAGCTAATTTGAACAATATCACTCTTCCAATCGGGATTGCTATTTGGACAAGAACCATTTGTTAAAAATGAAACCAATGAATTTGTACCCATTTCATAATCGGCAGAGCATGAATATTTGTAATTTTTTCCATTGACAAGACATGAGTTGATATCAACTGTTGAAGTACTATAATTACCTGTGCAACCTGTTCCATCATATGAATCTATTGTAATAGTATTTGACCCTAAAGAGCATGAAAGTGTACGATATCCAGTAGTATCACATGATCCAGATACTCTATATTGTGTGACAACTACATCCCCCAAGCATTCGTTATCTTCTAATTGATACACTTCAGTTTTGACATAATTGTGTATTGATGATGAAAAAGCTATATTTAAAAAAATACTCAAATAAATTATAGATATTATAAATTTCATTATTTTTATTATTTATTATTTTATTTTATTTTATTTTATATTTATTTTAGTTAAAATTATAAAAAAAAAAATTTATTTTTTTTGATTGAGGAAAAAAAAAATTATAAAAAATTAGATTTTTATTTTATAAAAATATCTTTTTTTTTTATTAATAAAAAAAGATTTTGATGATGTAATAATAATATGCTTGTAATTTTCTTAGTAAAAATCTATAAAAAGGATTCATAATTTATTATAAAAAAAAATAAAATTGAAACTTTTAAACCTAATAAAAAAAATTTTAAATATTTAAATAATATTGAAAATAAAAATAAGAAATTTTTTTTTTTATATTAATTAATACAATGGTATTTTTTATTTTATTACTTTTTTTAGCCCATTAATTATTTAGCAACCAATGAATAACAATCTTTGATTTAGTGCATTACGAAAATAGTTTTTTCTCGTTCTTCATACTAATGATATATAAATAAAAGATCAGTAAAATATTTATTTATACACGAATAAAAAAAAATTAAAAAACTTACAGCTCTTAAATCATCTATGGTGATTACTCTGTCATTATCTATATCCACTACTTTGAAGAGAATATTGGTAATACTTTCACAACTAGAATAATCGATTTTTGATTCTTTTTTGAAGACATTATATGCTTCTTCCCAAGTGATTTTACTTTCCACAATTAATTTTTTTTTTGGGGAAATATTGTTGGGGGGGGGGAATTGAATATTATTTACTGATATTAAAAAAAATTAAAATCATTTATATTTAATTTAATAATTATAAATAAAAGAAGATAATTTATTAAAAAAGTATTTTGGTTTTTTTTTTTTTTTTTATTAAATAATTTAACTGCTTTTAATCCCTATAAATATTTTTCTACACTTAAAATTTAAGATTGTTTGGTTTTGAAAAACTAGAGAATATATCTCAAAATACAGTTAGGTATAAATAAATAAAAAATAAAAAACAAAAAAATTTTAACAAAAACAAATCAAAAAATATTTATTTTTTAATAGTAACATTTAAAATTTAATCTTTTAATACTAAACACCAATCGAGTGATGGTATAACAATAGTTTTATCTTTTACTGATGCTGAAAGGTGGCCAGCATACATTTCACTTTTATACTCTGATGAACCTTCCTTTAAAATAATAGGAACTGATAAAAAACCTTTACCGATTGAGTCGTAATCGATTTTAGTAGAAATAGCAGTTGGATCTATACCTCCATAATCTATATATCTCTTAATCCATTCATTATCTTTATCAAACAAGCAAAATTTCTATCAAATTATTAAATTAATATTATAATTTTATAATTATTAAATTATTTAAAACTTACGGTTATCCATCCAGAGATATAACTGCCTCCACTTTCTTCATCTATTCTTACTATTGTATTCCAACATTTTTTATCTGGGTTCCCACTAATTGTTTCAATAAACTTATCCATAATTGGGTTCAATTCCTCTACCCATTCACCCATTTTCTTTTTTACACATGATTTATTTACTTCAAAATTTTTTAATAATGATACTCTTTCTTTTAATTGGATCCAATCATTTAATGTACCTAAAAGAGTTACCTTTGGAATTCCACACTCGGTTTCGAATATATAATTGAAATAGTTCTTCATTGTAGCCATTAATGCTACAGAAAATACTACTTTATCCACAGGTGTAGTTGTTGTAAAATTTGGAATTAACCAATTCTTTAATGATGGATCTATTATATTTTTTTCAATTTGATTTGCCATTTCCAAAACCATTTCATCATAAGGTGCATTTAAAATAGGATTTTTTGTTATAACAACCAAATCTTTCTTTTGTTTGAAATCTACAAACTTACTTGAGAGTTCATTCGAGTACTTGTTAACATATATTGAAAATTGATTTATAATTTGAAACCAAACATCCTCTGGACGTATTACTAAATGATGATGAGTAGAGTATGACATTATTGCTGAGGTTATAAAACCGTTGTTATTGGTATTGATCTTGTTATTTGATGATGTAATGTTAAGTGTTGATTGTAAAATGGTATAATCTTTTTCAATAACTTTCTTTTCTTTGGTTATTGTTGACCTGTTTTTTACATATTCTTCTCTTTTAATAATATCACCCATTGAAAATGGGTCAGTACTTCTAACATTTTCGATTTTTTTGTTTTCGACCAAAAATGTAACACCATTAACACCTTCAGTTTCGAATGGATGTAAGTTTGATTTATCACCTGCTTTAATGCTATAATCTTTAATATTTACTTTTATGTATTTATTCATTTTGATTATATAATTTAAAAAATAAAGAACAGATGGGTTATTTATAATGATATTTTAAACTTTGAGGTTTTTTTTATAAAATTATTACTGGTTTATTAGTTTTTTTTTAATAAACACAAAATTTTTAAAAAAATTAAATTATTTTTAAAAAAATTTCTAAAAAAAAAATTCTTTATTTTTTCTAAAATATTTATTTATTAATCATTTATATGAAATAAATTCACTTAGGTTATATTTTGGTAATGTTTAGGAAAATATTTTTGGTCCAGAATTATTTTGAAAAAAATCTCTTTTCATTTTCAAATTCTCTTATAAGAGGATGTATTGAGGTAATATTACATGATAAATCTGAATCCTCTTGAATATAAGCTGGAATTGTTTCTTCATTTTTTAATATTGTTAAATCTGTGACTGTTTTGGGGATGTGATTTCTATCTTCTTTTGTTAATATGTAATTTTTAATACCAAATGTAAGTTTTGCTACATTTGATGAAATATTAGATAATGATTCAAAGTCTATAAAATTTGAACCCAGTGTTAATGTATGAACTGTTTCTGGAAAAATTTGATTTTTGATTGGGTGATTATAGTTGTTTAATGTTAAAACTTGAACTTTTTTTGGAATATTATTATTAACTCTTAACTGTGATTCGAAATTATAGCTACATGTTAAATTGGTAATTGAGTCTGAAAGATCATTTCCATAATTATTAAATTCAAATGATTCACCTAGAAATAATGTTGATACTGCTTCTGGAATAGAACTATCCTTTATATCCTGGTTGAATGATGGAATTTTAAGATATTTTAGTGATGATGGGAATGAATCGGCTTCGAATGGTTGGTTAAATGATTCAAAAATGATAAATGTAACTGATTCTGGTAGTGAGTTTGGTTCAAGTAGTTTATTAAATGATGGCAGTATGAGGGATTTTAGAGATAAAGGTAATGAGTGTGGCTTTATAGTTTGATTAAACATTGATAGCTCTAGAAATACTATTGATGAAGATATGGAATATGGAACAATTGGGTGATTGAACGATGATAAAGTGAGCTCTATAACAGATGGAGGAATTGAGTTTGGTTTAATTTTTTGATTAAAAGATGGGAACTCGAGATATTCTGCACAGCTATGTATTGATTCAGGTAAAATTTCTTTATTAAATGATGGTAGAACGAGGTGTATAAGTTTCTCTGGTATGCTTTTTGGTAATATTATTTGATTAAATGATGGTAATGTGAGATATAAGATAGATTCAGGAAAAGTTTGCGGTAAAATTTCTTGATTAAAAGATGATAAATGGAGCTCTGATACTAATGAAGGTATTGAATAAGGTTTAATTGGTTTATCGAATGTTTTTAATATTAACTTTTCTAATGATTTTGGTAAGACGAAAGGCTCTATACATTGGTTAAATGATTGTAATTCTAATTCTATTAATGTATCAGGAAATGAATTGGGCTCTATTGGTTGGTTAAATGATTGTAACTCGAGACGATTTACTGAGTTGGGGATTGATTTGGGTGAAATAATTTGATTAAATGATGGCAATATAAGTGTTAAAATTGATGAAGGAAAAGAGTGTGGTGAGATTTTTTGATTAAATGATGGCAATACAAGATATTCTATAGTGCCTGGTATGGTATGAGGTTTTATAACTTGATCAAATAATCCCAATGTGAGATATTTAATTGAACCTGGAAGTGAAAGGGTAACTTCTTGATGAAATGAGACCAGTGTGAGCTCTTCTATAGTTGATGGAATTGTTTCTGGTGTAATATCTTCATCAAATGATGGTATTGTGAGTGAGGTTTTATATCCTTGGTCAGAATCAGTTTCAAATGTCTCAGAATAGATATCTGGTGCTAAATTAGAAATTGAATATGGTTTTGAATTTGGATTAAACGATTTTATTTCAAGATACTCCACTGATGATGGTATTGAATAGGGTGTTATCTCTTGATCAAAAGATGAAAGTGTGAGAAATGCTACAGATTTTGGAAATGACTCTTCAGTTATTGGATAATTGAATGATGGTAAACAGAGATCTATTACGGATGGAGGAATAGAACAGGGGATTATCGGTTGGTTAAATGAAGATAACTCTAGAAATACGACTGATGAAGAAATTAACTCTGGTGTAATTTGTTGATTAAAAGATGACAATATTAGATGTTCAACTGATGAAGGAATGGAATGAGGTGTAATTTCTTGATTAAAAGATGATAATGAAAGTTTTGTTACTGATTCGGGGATAGAGCCTTGTGTTATAGGATAATTAAAAGCTTTTAACGATAACTCTATTACTGATTTGGGAATTGAATGAATATTAATTGGATAGTTATATGAATCTAGATTTAGATATCTTATTGAATTAGGTATTGAATTTGGCGTGATTGGTTGGTTAAATAATGGCAATACTAGATGCTCTATGGGTTTTGGTATTGATCCAGCTTCAATAACTTGATTAAAAGATGGTAATGTGAGTTTGGTAATAGATTCAGGAACTAAATCAGGCATTGTTGCTTGGATAGACAATGTAAGGTCTGTTACTGTTGAAGGAATTGAATGATGGGTTATAACCTGGTTAAATGATGGTAATGTGAGTTCAGTTACTGATTCTGGAATTGAATAAGGTATTATTGCTTGATTATATGAGGGAAGTATAAGATTAGATAAAAATTCTGGAATTGAATTGGGCTCCAATTGTTGGTTAAATACTGACAAGTTGAGTACCTCTAATGAATCAGAAATTGAATAAGGTGTAATTATTTGGTTAAAAGAAGGTAATTCGAGATATTTTACAGAAGCTGGGATTAAATCAAGTGTGATGTGCTGATTAAATGTTTGTAATACCAGATATGTTACTGATTCAGATAGTGATCCTAGAGAAACCATATAGTCTAATGAAGAAATTGAAAGATATTCTTTTGATTCAGGAATTACAGAAAGTGGCTTAATCGTTTCTGAAGTATAGGAAGATGATTTGAGTGATTTTTTTTCATTTGGATAGGGTCCAGATAGTTGTTGAGATACTTGTACATTTATTAACTATAGAATATTTAGTATAAATTAATAAAACTATTTTTATCTAGATATTCAATTTCCTATATATAATATATTACCAAAAAATCTAGATTTTTTAAATCTACTGCACCCAATCTTGCATAAGGGTCTAAGGTCAAACAAGATTCTACAAAATCTTCAAATCTAGGAGATCGATCTGGTATAAATGGTTTGAATAGTTCGGTATTATTATTTGTGATGTCCCCACCAGCCATTTCAATTAGAGTGATACCCAGACTCCAAATATCTGATTTGGTATTTGATGAACTGTAGTAAATGTTTAAAGGCTCAGTTTCTGGTGGCATATGGGTTACGGTACCTATTCTACCATTAAATTGTAATGAAACTTCGTCAATATCTTTCGATGTACCAAAATCAATTAACTTGATCCCACCATTGCTTGGATTATAAAGTATGTTATCAGATTTTATATCCTTGTGGATAATCTTTTTATCATGTAAGAATTCTAACGCATCCACTACCCCTTTTGTTATATAAATAATCTCATAATCTGGAAAACCTTCTTTTCTTTTCTCTAATAATTCCTTAATTGAATAATAACCCTCTAAATACTCCATATAAATATATAAATTACTCTTATCTTCTGAAAACCCATACCCATAGAACTTAATAATTGTTTTATGCTCTTCAAGTTTTAAAAACCTTTCTATTGATTTAATTTCCCTAGATGCCTAATATAAAATTATTAAAAATGGTATTAATTAATAATTTTATTATAAAAAAATAAAGAAAAAATAAATTTTTATACTAACACTTTTAATATGGGTATTGTTGAGTATTTTTACAACACATTCATTATTAATATTATTTAATTTTACTCCATTAATAATGCCATCCAATTTCTTTGCTTTAAATACACCTTGACTTAAATTGCCTTTACCTAGAGGGTTGTCTTTATATATAATCCAATCTTTTTTATTATGAACAAATCGTTTATTATTATTATTTATAAGTGTTTCCATGATAATTTTTTTTAAAAAAAGATTTTTTTTTTTTTTATTTTTTTAATTTATTTTGTTTTATTTTATTTTTAAATATTTAAAATAAATTTTAAAAATAATTTTTTGAAATTGGGTTTTTGGTTGGGTAATTTATTTTCAAATGATCAAAAAATATTTTATTTTATTTTATTTTTTTTTTTTTTTAATTTATCATCATTTTTTGAATGTACTTTATACTATTACAGTAGCAGTGGTAGTGGATTAGTATCAGAGTCAATCGTGGTATCAGGGTGGTAGTATTGCACTAGAGATTAGTTTCAAACTATAAGTCATATAAAAATGCTTTAGAGTTTTAAATATATATTTTATACAATTACAACCACAATAACAGCGACTTTAAGTCAATTTATTCACCAAATTTCACAAGATGGAAAAAATTTACTATGGTTTTTAAATAATAAAAAAAAAAAAAAATTTAAATTTTTAAAAAATTTAAAAAGCTTAAAATTAAAGATATCTTTATTTTGATAATGAATAGAAAATTAACTAGGGATGGAGAATTTTTAATTCTATATTAATAATAAGTGATAAAATTGATAATAATTATTATTATCCATTTTTATTTTTATTTACACTATAAAGTTGATTATTATTTATACTAATATTTATATTATTAAATATGTCACTGGATGATGAATAAAATTTATTATTATTATCATTTATTATTATCATTTTTATTTTCATTATTATCATTTTCGTTTTTATTAATATTATTTATGTATTATTATGTGTTGAAATAGAAAGAATTTAAATCTTAATAAATTTTAAAATTAAATATTAGTTACTTTTGTATTCAAATATAATAATAATTATATAAATATTAACTTTATAAATACCTTTAAAAGTACAAATACCCCAATGAATGATGAAAGACCTGAAAACCACAATAAATAAGAATAAAGTAAACCCCAAATGAATAATGGATGACTTGAAAAAACCCCGATGCTTGATAAAGAATAAACTAAACCCCTAATGTATGATGAATTATTTGAAAAAACCCCAGCGTTTGAATAACTTGATAAACCCACAATGTATGATGAAAAACAACCCCAATGTTTAATGAATGACTCGAAAACCACATTTAAAATGACTTGAAACCCCAATTTTAAAAGAATACTGAACCCCAATGTATGATGAGTGACCTGAAATCCACAATTTTAAAAGAATATCCTAAACCTCGATATATGATGAGTGACATGAAAACCCCAATTTTAAAAGAATACTGACCCCAATGTATGATGAGTGACCTGAAAAACCCAATTTTAGAAGAATATATTGAACTCCAATGTATGATGAGTAACTTGAAAACCCCATTTAAAAAGAATATATTTGAACCCCCAATATTTGATGAGTGACCTAAAAAACCCCCAGTGTTTGATGTATAACCCAAAACTACAATTAGAAAGAATATACTGAACCCTGATTTAATTGAATATATGGACCACAATGTATGATTAATTACTTGAAATAACGTATTGAAACTGAAAAAGAATGAATGAAATTAAACTAAATAAGTATTAAAATTAGATATTAGTTTTTTATTATTCAAATTTAATAATAATTATGTAAATATTAAAATTATAGTTACCTTAAAATTAATTGAAACACTGAATCAAACGATTTTGTTAATAGTTAGTCCTCACCTATTTCTTAAAAGAAACATTGAATGAGTTATGTAAACTATTAATTTAATCGCCATCAAATTTCAATATTAAATCTAGAGATCCATAGTATCAACAAATTCGTCATCTTCACCCCCATCTTCATCGCCATTTCCTGGGTGATCTTCATTATTATATAAACCAGGATAAGAATTGTAAGGAAAAGGGTATGGAATTGGTGGGAGTTGAGCGGCTTCATGGATTAATTCTTGGAGTGTACTGTAATAATTTGGCCATCTATCATCTCCTTGAACTCTATATGGGACATTGGCACTGTTTACTAAACCTTCAACATAATTGTCTCTCTGAAAATTATTAATAATTGAAATAAATTAATATGTTTTATTTTTTATAAATAAATATGAATGTGTAAATTACTTACTTTTATATTATAAAATCTTTTTCTACATGTTGGACAGGTGTTAGCTTGATCCGACCATTCTAATATACAATCAAAGCAAAATTTATGATTGCAATCAATTGTTGCTTTTTTTATGGTCTCTATTTGATCTATGCAAATATTACAATGGTAATCTATTTCCAATAGTCCCCTTTCTAATTTCTCTTTTTCCTCTTTTTCTTTTTCTTCTTTTTCTTTTTGGAGCTTTTCCAATCTTTCTTTTTCTTCTTTTTCCTTTTGAATTTTTTCTAATTTTTCTTTTTCTTCTTTTTCTTTTTTTAATTTTTCCATTTTAGCACGATCTTTATCTTTTTTTAAACTCTCTTCATCGAGTTTTTTTTTTTTGTTAATTTTTCTATCACTTTCATTTGATATATCATCTTCTTCCAATGGTCTTGTTTTTATTGGATTGCCAGTTGATGCAACTGTAGAAAGATTGCTTGATTCTGGCTCTTTATCTGAATTAATTTTGGATGATGATCTTGTTGGAATTGGGGTATTTGATTGAGAAGAATTAAAAAATTGAGATTGGAGTTGATTTTGTGATTGGGTATATGGTGATCTTGTTGCAGGAAAAGTTGGTATGATTTCGGTGGATCTATGGAATGGTGATTCTGAGGTTATATTTTGTGGTTGAGATGGTGATTGATTGTGTGATGGGGTATATGGTGATCTTGTTGCTGGAAAAGTTGGAATAATATCAGTGGATCTATGGAATGGTGATTCTGATATTATATTTTGTGGTTGAGATGGTGATTGATTGTGTGATGGGGCATAAATACATTGGTCAAGTGGGGATTGACTGTTTTGGGAAATGTAATTTATTATTATTTTATTATTATTGATACTATTAATATTATTATTATTGATACTATTGATATTATTATTATTATTGATATTATTATTATTATTATTATTATTATTATTGTTAATATTATTATTATTATTGATATTATTGTTGTTGTTATAATCATTGGAAATTATTAAATTAGATGGTTGTGTGCAGGTGTTGCTTTCATCATTGTTATTATTATTGTTATTATTGTTATTATTGTTATTGTTATCACTGAAAAAATAATTTTTTATTCTGTAAAATGTATTAGTTAAATAATCCATTTTTTTTTAAATTGTAATAAAAAGAGTGATAATGTGAAATGTGATTTAGTGTAAGGATTTTATTTTATTTCAAAAAAATTATTATTGTTATTAAAAATAATTAATGGGTGGAATGCAATAATAAAAAATAATGAGTTGATTAAATTATATAAATAATGTATATATTAATGAATATAAAATAATAAAAAAAAATAAATAAAAAAAAATAAATAAAAAAAATTAAAAAATTATTTTCTAAAATTTAAAAATGTAAATTAAAAAAAATTCTTAAATTAAAAAAAAAAAAAGTAAATTAAAAAAAAAATTTAATTTTTACTACAAATAGAAATGAAATTCATTGATGGAGTTAGTTGAAAATTCATTGATGAAATTTTTCAAAAACATAGTTTTTTTTTGGTTGTTAAATATATGGTATTTCTTTAAATTTTTATAACAAATAATTTTACTTTTATATATTTAAAATAATTGATGGCATTTTTTGTTGATCATTGTAAAGAAATAAATTACTTTTTTATATTTTATTTTATTTTATTTTATTTTATTTTTATTAATTATCTTTTTTTTACTAAATATGGAAAGTGATTGTAATTTTTAATAATCATCAAAAAAAAAATAAAAATAGTTTCCAATATTTTATTTAATTTTTTTATTTAATTTTTTTTTATTTTATTTTATAAAATTATATAAAAATTAAAAAAAAAAAAAAAAAAATAAGAAAAGACTACGTTTAGTTTGTAATATCTTTATTTTATATAATTTATCAATTTTATGAATATGAGAATGTAGATCATAAATATATTTTAATTTGATCATCTGAACTAAATAGAATCTATCTCTTTTCATTTTTGTTTTACTATATATTTTAATTTGATCATCTGTAAAGTTAGTTGTTGATTGAACTAAATGGAATCTATCTCTTTTCATTTTTGTATTACTATATAAATTATAATTTCCATAATTGTTTTAAAAACACCCAAATCTAGCATTAATGTAATAGACCAATATTCAAAAAGCTTTTCTTTGATAATCTTTGAAATAAGCTTGAATTTATACTTTTTGGAACCTCATTCAATTTCTCTTTTATAAATGTCTTCTTTTTCTGAGTTGATTTTACCTAAATTCAGATTTTGTTATTTACAAATTTTTTATTGAAAAACAAACTAATATTTGATATCGTAGTTGCATACTTTACAACATATATTCTTTCTTGAAGACTGTTCATAAATCAATTGGTTTGATGGTGGGTCTTTGCTAATGTTTGGGAATATATATATGTTCATTGAAAAGCTAAATAACATTCTTTTAAAACTGCTTCACTTTTGGGATGCTTTATTTAATGGTGATAGTCTATGTGAATTAATTTAGTGATTGTATTTTATTTTAATTAGAACAATTGTTAAGAAATAGCAGTTAGCTCTCTAATTATTTACCTAAACTGGTGTATCTTTTTATTTCTTTTAATATATTAATGAAGGACATTATAATATATAAATATTTAGTTATTGTATTTTTATTTTTATTTAGTTTATAATAATATAATGTTTATGGTGGTGCAGTACCATTTTTAGAAAATAATTAAAAAAAATCAAAAAATTAATTTTAAAATTTTTTTTTTTTAATAAATTTATCATCATTTAATGAATGTACTTTTATAATAATAATAATTACTTTTATATATTCAACAAAAAAATTTTAAAAAAGGATCCGTCAGTACAGATTAAATATATTTGGTAAATAGAAAAGATTTCAAAAACATATGACTCACAGTAACTTTGCACATATCACATACAGAGAATCGTATTTAACTCATTTTCTACAAGAGTTATACTATTACAGAGCGAATGGTAGTGAATTAGTATCAGAGTCAATCGTGGTATCAGGGTGGTTGTATTGCCCTAGAGATTTGTTTCAAACTATAGGTCATATTAAAATGCTTTAGAGTTTATATAATAATAAATAATAATAATAATAGAAATAATAAATAATAATGATAATAAATTACAATAATTGACTTTTTAATTTATACAATTACAACCACAATAACAGCGACTTTAAGTCAATTTATTCACCAAATTTCACAAGATGGAAAAAATTTACCATGGTTTTTAAAATAATAAAAAACAATAAAAATTTAAATTATTAAAAAAATTATAAAAGTTTAAAATTAAATATCTTTATTTTGATAATGAATAGAAAATTAACTAGGGATGTAGAATTTTTAATTCTATATATTAATAATATGTGATAAAATTGATGATAATTATTATTATCTATTATTATTATTATTTGTTATTTACACTATATACATATAAAGTTGAAATAAAAAGAATTTAAATCTTATAATTTTTAAAATTAAATATTAGTATCTTTTATATTCAAATATAATAATAGTTATAAATATTAACTTTATAAATACCTTTAAAGTACAAATACCCCAATGAATGATGAAAGACCTGAAAACCACAATTAATAAGAATAAAGTAAACCCCAATGAATAATGGGTGACTTGAAAACCCCCCAATGCTTGATAAAATAACATAAAATACCCAATTAAAAAGAATAAATTAAAACCCCAATGTATGATACACTATTTGAAAAAACCACAGCGTTTGAATAACTTGATAAACCCACAATTTATGATAAAATATTTGAAAAACAACCCCAGTGTTTAATGAATAACTCGAAAACCACATTTAAAAAGAATATGTTGAACCTATGAGTGACTTAAAATCCCAAATAAAAAGAATATATTGAACCCCAATTTAATAGAATATATCGAACCCCCAATGTATGGTGAATGACTTGAAAAACCCAATTTTAAAAGAATACTGAACCCCAATTTTAAAAGAATACTGAACCCCAATGTATGATGAGTGACCTGAAATCCCCAATTTTAAAATAATATCCTGAACCTCGATATGATGAGTGACTTGAAAACCCCAATTTTAAAAGAATATACTGAAACCCAATGTATGATGACTTGATAACCCCAATTATAAAAGAATATATTGAACTCCAATGTATGATGAGTAACTTGAAAACCCCATTTAAAAAGAATATATTGAATCCCCAATATTAGATGAGTGACCTTAAAAACCCCCAGCGTTTGATGAATGACTCGAAACTACAATTAGAAAGAAAATACTGAACCCTGGTTTAATTGAATATATGGACCACAATGTATGATTAATTACATGAAATAAATAAAGTATTGAAACTGAAAAAGAATGCATGAACTGAAACTAAATAAGTATTAAAATTAGATATTAGTTTTTTATTATTCAAATTTAATAATAATTATGTAAATATTAACATTATAGTTACCTTAAAATTAATTGAAACCCTGAATGAAACGATTTTGTTAATAGTTTAGTCTTCATCTATTTCTTAAAGAAACTTTGAATGAGTTATGTAAAACTATTAATTTAATCGCCTTCAAATTTCAATATTAAGTTGAGAGATCCATGTCATCTTCTTCGTCATCTTCTTCGTTATCTTCTTTATCATCTTCTTCTTCATCTTCATCGCTATCTTCATCGCCATTTCCTGGGTGATCTTCATTATTATATAAACCAGGATAAGAATTGTAAGGAAAAGGGTATGGAGTTGGTGGGAGTTGAGCGGCGTCATGGATTAATTCTTGGAGTGTACTGTAATAATTTGGCCATCTATCATCTCCTTGAACTCTATATGGGACATTGGCACTGTTTACTAAACCTTCAACATAATTGTCTCTCTGAAAATTATTAATAATTGAAATAAATTAATATGTTTTATTTTTTATAAATAAATATGAATGTGTAAATTACTTACTTTTATATTATAAAATCTTTTTCTACATGTTGGACAGGTGTTAGCTTGATCCGACCATTCTAATATACAATCAAAGCAAAATTTATGATTGCAATCAATTGTTGCTTTTTTTATGGTCTCTATTTGATCTATGCAAATATTACAATGGTAATTTATTTCTAATAGTCCCCTTTCTAATTTCTCTTTTTCTTCTTTTTCTTCTTTTTCTTTTTGGAGCTTTTCCAATCTTTCTTTTTCTTCTTTTTCCTTTTTAGTTTTTTCTAATTTTTCTTTTTTTTCTTTTTCTTTTTTTAATCTTTCCATTTTTGCACGATCTTTATCTTTTTTTAAACTCTCTTCATCGAGTTTTTTTTTTTTGTTAATTTTTCTATCACTTTTATTTGATATATCATCTTCTTCCAATGGTCTCTTTTTCATTGGATTACCAGTTGATGCAACTGTAGAAAGGTTGCTTGATTCTGGCTCATTATCTGAATTAATTTTGGATGATGATCTTGTTGCAGGATAGGTTGGAATAACCTCTGTGGATCTATGAAATGGTGTATAATCTGAGGTTATATTTTGTGGTTGTGATTGTGCAAACCATGGTGGAATTGGGGTATTTGATGGAGAAGAATTAAAAAATTGATTTTGTGATTGGGTGTTTGGTGATATTGTTGCAGGAAAAGTTGGTATAATTTCAGTGGATCTATGATATGGTGAATCTGAAGATATATTTTGAGGTTGAGATGGTGATTGATTTGGTGATGGGGTATATGGTGATCCTGTTGCAGGAAAAGTTGGTATAACTTCAGTGGATCTATGATATGGTGTATCTGAGGTTATATTTTGTGGTTGAGATGGTGATTGATTGTGTGGTGGGGCATAAATACATTGGTCTTGTGGGGATTGACTGTTTTGTGAAAAGTTATTATTATTAATATTATTATTATTATTATTGTTATTATTATTAATATTATTATTAATATTATTATTGTTATTTTTAATATTATTGTTGTTGTTGGAAAAATTATTAATTAAGTTAGATGGTTGTGTGCAGGGGTTGATTTCATTATTGTTATTATTGTTATTATTGTTATTATTGTTATTATTGTTATTATTGTTATTATTGTTATTGTTATTGTTATCACCCAAGAAATAATTTTTTATTTTGTAAAATGCATTAGTTAGATAATCCATTTTAAAAAGAGTGATTATGTGAAATGTGATTTAGTTTAAGGATTTTATTTTATTTTAAAAAAATTATTATTGTTATTAAAAATTATTAATGGATTGAATGCTATAATAAAAAATAATGAGTTTATTAAATTATATAATAAAATAATGTATATATAAAATAATAAAAAAAAATAAAAAAAATAAAAATTATTTAAAATTTAAAATGTGAATTAAAAAAAAAATTCTCAAATTTAAAAAAAAAAGTAAATTAAAAAAAAATAAAATTTTAATTTTTACTACAAATAGAAATGAAATTCATTGATTGAAGTAGTTGAAAATTCATTGATGAAATTTTTCAAATATATAGTTTTTTTTTGGTTATTAAATATATGATATTTCTTTAAAAAAATAATTTTACTTTAATATATTTAAAATAATTGATGGCATTTTTTATTGATCATTGTAAGAAATAAATTACTTTTTTTTTTTTATTTTATTTTTTTTAATATTTATTAACTATCTTTTTTTTACAAAATATGGAAAGTGATTGCAATTTTTAATAATCATCAAAAAAATAATAAAAAAATAAAAACACAAAAATTAAAAAATAATCAAATCGAAATATATGACTACAATGATAATGAACTTGTATCATTAACAATTTCTGTTGACTTACCAATTTGGAGGGTTGTACACCAAGAATTGTTGGATCCCCTAATATTGCATCTGGGTATAGCCTTGCTAATCAATTAACATACAAAGGTAGCTAATCTCAAAGGTTTTCAGGTAGTTTCTCTTTTGCTATTTACCCAAACCCAAGTACCGGAAAAAAAATTTATAAAATAATGATAGAAATAAAAAAAGTTTAAAACTAGTATATCAATTGATATACATATTCTTTTGAACACAAGGCAAAGAATATCTTTAATTTCTTTTGATGTTTGGATGTGAGAGGATACCAACTTGTTTGGGATCTTTGCTTTAAAATTTTATTTTTTTTATTAGTAGATGTGGGAGGTTGGGTTTAATAATTATAATAGAAAATGTAAGAGATACATCAAAATAACCGATTGACAAGCATTAATTATTTCATAAAAATAATTATCAGCTATTCCAAATTCAAAAAAAAATTATATTTTGAAAACTTGTCTTTAAAAAAAAAAGAAATAAATATAAACCATTAAAAGAAAAGATTAAATTTTTTTATTTATGTATAACCTTATTTAATTTTAAGATTTAAATGTGTAATCAGCAGAAGAAGCATCAAAGTCACAGGTAACATTTTTTCTTAAACCCTTAGAGAGACGTTTAAGTATTTCTGAAGAGTTATCGTTGATTTGGGGTCTGGTGAATACAGTGTTTACAGCTTTATTATTCTTTTTAATATTATCTACCAATTTTTGAAAATTACTTTTAATTTCAGAATTATTCCAATCTATAGTGGCTTTAGTCATTTTTGATATTCTAAATTATAAACTGAAAAAAAAAAAAAAAAAAAAAAAAACATAATTTAAATGATAAGGGAAAAAAAATTAAGTTTTTAATTAAATTAAGTTAATTAATTTATTTGTTTTTTACAAAAGTGTTTGAAGTTACGGGGGTGAATGGGGCGTGGGTTTGTATTTTACAAATTTATTTTTATTGAATATATTAATGTTTTTAATTGTTTGTTTGGGTATCAAAAATCTTTACTATGTCGACAATAGCATCACCAGTAATTGCTTTAATTTGATTATTTTTTGACATATTTAAAATTTCGTTTTCCTATTTAAAATAATAATTAAATAATATAATTAGTAAACTATAAACTATAAACTATAAACTATAAACTATTAATAATATATATGTGGTATATTTACAGCCTCTATTCTTAATGCTTTGGCTAGTATATTAACTTTTAATCCCTTTAAAAAGAATCCAATTACTGAATCTGACCATCTATCGCTATGTCTTACTAAAAATCCTGGTCTAAATATTGAGAGGAAATTAAAATTTTCCTCTTTATACTTTTCTTCAATTTCACCTTTAACTTTTAAATAATACATCCATGAATTTGGGTTTGATCCACCTGATGTTAATAAATGCATAGAACGAACACCTGACTCTTTGGATAAATCTGCAAACTATAGTAAGTAAATATTGATTTGTTTTATTAGTTCTTTGTACAATAAAAAATAAAAACATTATGGGTGGTGTTATTACCTTTGCTGAATAACCATATTCAATTTCTTTAAATCTTTCAGTACTACCAGCTTGCTTTTTAGATGTTCCAAAAACATTGAATGCAACATCTTTACCTTCGAATTCCGATTTATAATTTTCTAATTTTTCAAAATCAACAACTACTTGTTTTAATTTATCTATTATTTATTTAAAAATTAATATAATGTTTAAGTAGAAGTGAATACTTTATTTAAATACCTACCACTTGTAACATTAGGATCAATTGTTCTAACCAACGATGTAATTTCACAAAAATGGGGTGAATTGATTAACTCCTTTACTAATGGTTTACCTGTGGCACCAGTGCCTCCAATTAAAATTGCTTTTGCTCCTTTTGTGGCCATTTTATTATATTTGATAAATTATTTATTATTTTGAAAACTTAAAGATGTTATATATTCTATTATATGTATGAAAATATTAATATTAATAAAACAAAAATAATTTTCATTATTTATAAAATTTTAAAAATCTCAAAAAAATTAAAAATAAATTTTTTTTTGACAAGCAATAATTATTTCATAAAAATAATTATTAGCTGTTCCAAATTTTAAAAAAAAAATATAATTTTGATTATAATAATTAAAATAGATTTTAATCTAAATAAATAATTTAATAAACTTATTATTAATTGATATCAAATGATGATCATCAGATGACAAGTCAAAAATAAATAAAAAATAAAAATAGTTTCCCATATTTTATTTAATTTTTTTTTATTTAATTTTTTTTATTTAATTTTTTTATTAATTTTTTTTCTTTTTTTTTTTTTTTTTGTTTTTTATTTATTATTTTATTTTTTTATTAATTTATAATTTAAATAACTTTGAAATTTATTAATGGAAGAAATATGGAACAAATTTTCATGTGCATGTACTAATGGAGATTTAAATACACTTCACCATATAATTTCAAATGGATTGCTCAATGTGAATGCAGTTGATAATAAAGGAAGATCGGGATTGTTAATGGCAGTATGCAGAAACCAAGTCGAAGTTGTTAAATATCTACTATCGAACGGAGCTGATCCAACTCTAAAAGATATAAACAATAACAATGCATTACATTTAGCGTCTATTAGCGGTTCATCACAAATTGTATCAATCATTTTAAACTATCAAAATGAACAACAGCAACACCAACAACAACAGCAATACCAACAACAGCCATCAAATTTAATAAACCAAACTATATTATCAAAAGATGTTAATAATAACACACCATTACATTTGGCAAGCTCAAGATTAAAGAGAATGCTTTCAAACATCAAGTCAAACTCATCCAATGGTAACTACAAAGATTCTGAATTAATAAAAGAACTAAAATCGATTTTGTCAAGCTTTTATTCAATTATTAATGCAGTCGGTTCGAATGAAGATAAACTAAAGATGCAATTAATAATAAATAATTTCGAAAAAGATCAAATCTCCACCGAAGAATACGAGATGGACGATGATGAAAATGATGAAAATGATACCAACAATCTATCAAAAACTTTGGACGATTTGGATTCATTGTTAAATGGTCTTTCACTTTCATAACCATCGATATAAATATAAATTATATATAAAATATATAGATAAATAAACAATATATAATAAATAAAATATATATTTTTGTAAATAAATTTAATTAAACTTTATTATATCATTTTTTTATTTTTTTATATTATTTATCTATTGTTTATTTTCATTCATAAAACTTGTCATAAATTCAATTAATTTTTTAGTTTGATCGACAGTTATGGCATTGTATAAAGAAACTCTTAAACCACCAACAGATCTATGACCTTTAATATCGGTTATATTGTGTTTTGATGCTTCTTTAACAAACTTTTCTTCTAATTGTTCATTACCATCTTGAATTCTAAAAACTACATTCATTCTAGATCTGTATTTTGCATCAATACCACATCTATAAAATCCATTTGAACCATCGATAAATTTATATAAATTGGATGATTTCTCGATACTACGTCTTTCCATTTCCTCTAAACCACCTTCTTTAATGATCCATTTTAATACTAAACCTGTAATATAAATGCTAATAATAAATAATTAATATTTTGATAAGAAAAAGGTATATGAATAATAATAATCGAAATACTACATACTTGAAAGTTGGTGGAGTATTATCAAGTGAATTATTTTGACTTTTTTTCTAAAGTAATAGGGTAAAACAAATTAACATAAACTATTGGTGAAAAATTAGAAACTATAATATAGTGTAATACTTACTAAGAAATTAAAAACAGATGGAACACTTGGTTTAGTTTTTGTTAATAAAGATTTCTTAATGATAACAATAGTGATACCAGAAATACCAGCATTCTTTTGAGCACCAGCAAAGATTAAATCATACTTTGATACATTGACTGGTTTTGAAAGGAAATTGGAAGACATATCACATACTACAATTCTGCCTTCTGGGAAATGATCTGGAGTTGATGGTGGCATTTCGACACCATGAACAGTCTCGTTGTCACAATAATGAATATAGGTAGAGTCAGGTGAAAACTTCCATTGTGATGGGTCGGTTACAGTGAGGAATTTCTCTGGTTCCATATCTGCAACCTTGTTAACTTTACAAAAATATTTACCATCTGTAGATGCACCTTTAGACCAAGCACCAGTAACAATGAAATCGACAACATCATTTGGTGATTCACATAAATTCATTGGAATACCTGAAAATAATGATGATGCACCACCCTGAAGGAATAAAATATCGTAATCATCTGGAATTGATAATACTTTTATTAAATTTGATTTAGTTTCTTGGATAACTTTTTCAAATTCTTTACCACGATGAGAAACCTCCATTATACTTTTACCACATCCTTGAAAATTCAACAACTCTTTTTGTGCTTCTAATAATACTGAATCTGGTATACATCCTGGTCCTGCTCCAAAATTAATTGCTCTAAATTCTTGATGTGACATTATTTGTAATAATTACAATATAAATAAAAAAATTATGAAAAATTAAAAAATTAAAAAAAAATAAAAAAAAGAAAAAAAAAAAATTATAAAAATATTTTCACATCCCAAATGCACACAATCAGGAAAAAAAAAAAGAAATAAAATTTTAAATAAAAAATCAAACTCCCGACTCGGGAATTAATAAAAATATTTTAAAAAAAAAAAAAAAGTAATTTTATTTTGGTGATTATTATTATTATTATAGTTAACTAATTTATTAATTAATTAATTTATTCGTTTATTATTTATTATTATTATTATATAAATATTTTTTTTTTTGTTTTTTTTTTTTTATATTATTACTATTTATTATTGTTTATTATTATTATTATTATTATTGAGGTGATTGATTATTATTTATTATTATTATTATTATTATTATATTTTTTTATTTTTTTTATTCTATCTATCTAAATGATATTTCTCATTTAAAATTTGACGAAGTTGGGCTGGGAATTGAGAATAAAATTGTGGCCAAACACCACCCATACCTTCTTTATACATATTTAATAATTTGAAATAAGCTTCATAGAGATCTGGTTGCATATTGACCCAGGAAGCAACAGCATCACAAATGTAAACTAAATGACGAAGTGCACCATTTGGATTATTGTTAATAACTAACCACATACCTCTAAAAGCAGAATCTTTTTCGACATCATCAGTTTTTCTACGAATTGCCATACACCAACATTGAATAAACTTATCTACATTTGGAGCAATGTCTGGTGCGGAAACTAAACCTAAACGACCAAGGGTGACAGCGGTATTCTCTAATACACCACGATTTAAATTAATTTTATTAATATTTGCAATGAGACGATCGAGAATATTTGGTACAAATGGTTTAACTTCTTCTGGCATACGAAGAGCAATTTCACCAATGGCCCAACTTGCGTTATTACAAACTGATAAACATTCTGGATAAAGATTATTTGATAAGATATTAAGGTATTCAGGGATATATTGTTTAAAGTGAATGAGACAATGTTTAGCCATATCGCCCAATAAAGCAAAACTGCTTTGAAGAACATCAGTACCACGAAGTTTCATACATTCCAATAAAAGACGTGGAAGATTTGAACTTGGAATTAATGATTCAATTGATGTACCAATTCCTTCTGAGAGACCTTGAAGGAGATCTAAAGCGGCAACGATAAAGTCAAAATCACTGGAAAAAGTTCTTTTATTGTTTTCTTCGTTGAGTTTTTGTGATTGTAATGATCCTTCGATTAATTTAATGGCTCTGTTGAAAAATAGAACAATAAGATTTTGAAGACCAATACCAATGGCTGAGCAAACTTGATTTAAGCAGCCTAATAATGGAAGAAGACTCTTATTGTTATCTTCGAGTGAATTGAATTTTTGTAAAAGTGGTGGTACTAATATATTGACGTATTCTGGTTTATTTAATTCACCACCTACCACTTTGGCTAATGTTGAGATGGCATCATATAAAATTAAAAGATTCTTGGCTTGATATTTACTGAAAGCATTTACAAAAGTGGTGAGAATTGTAGTGAGATATGGTAATAATAAAAGATCGGCTTCTTCTTCAAGAGTGGCAAATGCTGAACAAGCTGCTTCTTGAACTTTTTTATTATTATCACCAATACGGTTTAAAAGATTGATAACTAATGGATGAAGGAACTCACGACCTTCTTGGGCGATCCAATAAGAGTATCTACTGAGAGTCCAACAGGTAATACTACGTACCAATGGTTTGCTATCATTAAGTGTATTTACAAGATATGGTACAACCTTTCCAAGGTGTGGAGCTAAACCTTCTTTTGAACCATCAGCGATGGCACCTAAAGCTAAAATTGCACTTTCTCTAACTGGCCATGGATTTGAGTCGTTCATACGTTGTTCGATTAATGGTAATGTAACAGAAAGGTATTCTGCATCTTGGAAGATACCTGATAAAACATCGAGTGCATAAGCTGAACTTTTTCTAATTGTCCATTCTTCATCTTCAAAATCATTATAATCTTCGTCGTCGTCATCATAATCTTCTTCATCTTCTTCTGATTTTTGTTGTTCAGCTTGAACAAAACCTTGATCACCACCTTGTGCTCCACTGCCATGTGATTTAGTTTGTGAAATAAATGGTTTAATATCTTCTGGTCTATCTGGTGTCATAGCATCATCACCATGATCTAAAAATTGAGAATCTGATTCTGAATAAACCATACCATTTAATAAAATTGGAATTAAACTATATATATATAAATAAAAATTGTTAACATATGATAATTTTATACTATTATAGATAATATAGATAATAAAAATAAACTTACGATGGTAAATAATCTTTTAATAAATCTCTACAACCTTCAGTTTGTGAAATTGCAGTCCAAAATTCGCAAGCTTCTAAAGCGACTTCTTCAGATTTATCTTTTGTAGCATGAAGCATATATTCAATTACGTCTTTAATGTATGGTAAAAGGAATTCTATTTTAGTTTCGACCAAAATAACTAAAGTTTTACAAACATTTGTTCTGACTTGTGGTGATGGATCTTCACTCATTGAAAATATACCCTTTAAAAATGCTTCCATATTGATTAAAAGAGCGCCTGGCATTTGAACAATAAAAAATGAAATTGAAACCAATGCTTTCTTTCTAAAATCTGGGTTGGTGGATCTGAAAAACATAATCAATTTTGGAATTAATTGATTTAATGCTCTGTTACTGTCCTCGCTATCTAACTTTTTAGTTGAATCTTCACATAATAATGAAATTGTATAAAGTGAACCTTCGACTAAATCTTGATTTTGGCTATCTAATGCTTGGAATAATGTTGGTAATAATTCTGGCCAATCCTAATTTACATTTTAAAAAAAAAAAAAAAAATAGGTTAATAATGAGTTTAATTATATGAAAATTGGTGATGAAATAATTATGAAAAAAAAAAATTTTCAAAAATTCGAATTTTTTTAAAAAATTTTTTTACACACACAATAATATCAAAAAACCATGGCTTGAGAAAAACCCCAATGAATGGTGATACCTACTGAAAAATTACTCTTTTTAATTAAATTTGTTACAATATTACCAACAGTGTGACGAACCGAAACTTCTGAATCTGAAAGAACTGGTAAAATCTCCCTTTTAATATAGTTTTGAACTTCTCTTGGCATTTTTTCGAAATAAGTTTTAATATTTGTCTTTAATAATAAACCTGATACACTTCTAATGTGTGGTTGTAATTCTGCACTCTTAAAAATAATTGTTAAATAATTATTATAATCTGGAATTGAATGAAATTTTTCTAATTCCTAAAAATAAAATGTGGTGTTAGCAATGATATTATTTATATTTTTATCAATCAAATGAAATAATTTAATGAGAATTAAATCACCACTATCATGATATTCCTATATGTAATTATATAAATACCTCTCTAATCTTATCTTGAACTTCTCTTGATGGTGAGACAGATTGATTTAAAAGGAATACAAGTTGATTTAAACCTGCTGGATTTGGTTGCCAACTTTCCATTTTTTTTATGTATATGTATTGTTTATTATTGTTGTCGTGGTGCTATGGTGCTGTTGGGTTGTGGTTTCTATTATAAAACTTGAATTATTACCTAATTATTTATTAGCTAAATGCTGTACAACTGTTGCTGCTATTACTACTATTATTACAAACAAAATATATATGTTAATAAATATTATATAAATATCAAATAAATATTATAATAATTTAGGAAAAAAAAAAAAAAAATGATTTCCTAGATATTATAATTTATATGAATATATACTATACACTATATAAATAAATGAATATTATTTTTTTCTTGAATTGTAGAATATTATTAAATGTCTGTATGTATTATTGATGAAATGAGGTTTTGGACTTTAGTTTCACTATTGTTATTGTTGTTCTTTAAAGACCTTTTCACCATATGAAGAGAACAAAAAAAAAAAAAAAATTTAAAAAAAAATTATAAAAATTTTTTTTTTTTTTTTTTTTTTTTAAAAAATTTTTTTTTTTTTTTTTTAATAAAATTTTAAAAAAAGAAAAAAAAAATATAAATTCACATATAAATTATTTGAATTTTATAAACTTAACTTTTTAGTTGTTATTCTTATTTTTTATATAAACAGGATAAAATAATCTAAAGATTATATATTAAAAAATAATAATATAATTAAATAGTTTATAAAATAATTATTTACTTGGATCTCAATAAATTAATAAAAAAAATCTTTTTTTTTTTTTTTTTTTTAATTTATTCTATTTATTTTTATTTTTATTTTTATTTTTTCTATTTTTATTTTTTTTTTTTTTTTATTTTTTTTTTTATTTAAAAATAATAATAAGTAATCATAAAAATAGAATTATATCAATAGTAGTTATTTATAATTTTATATATTGTTTGATAAGATCCAAAAATAATAAAATAAATAAAACAAATAATTAAAATAATTAAAATAAATAATGACAGTTTAAAATAATTATTATAATAAATCTTTATATAAATTAAACAAATATGGTAGTTTTAAAATGATTATAACTATTTTTAAAATGGGTTATAGAATCGTATCATCTATTATTCCAATTTAATTTTAATTTAATTTTTTATTTTTTAAAAAAAAATAGTAAAATTAAAATTTTAAAAAAAAAAAAAAAAAAAGAAAAAACGAAAAAAATTTTTTTTATTTTTTTTAAACACAATCTAAATTATCTTTGTATAATATATAGCATTTAATATGGCTCAATCATCATTAAAAATTAAAAAAGCAGGTTCTACCAATAAAGTTTCAAAAGGTATTATTAAATAAATAAACAAAATAAATAAATAGATATATTAGATAAAAATAATTTCGTATTACGACCAAATAAATAAATACAAAATTATAACGATTATTATAACAACTAGTATTATCTAAACCAGATTATAATGTACTAATATGTTTTTTTTAATAATTAGTTGGTTTAAATAAAAAAAAGAAACAACCAAAATCAGTTATTGCTCAAGCAAAAGCTAAAATGAACAAAAAATTAGAATCAACCATTACTCAAAAGATTGAAACCGAAATGACAAGTAGATTTAAAAAGAATAATGGAAAGTTATCAGTTTTAAAATCTCAAGAAGATCCATCAAAGAAACAAGCAGCCAAAAAGAAATAAACATAAACTAATGATAATAATAATAATAAAATTATAACTAAAATTCCTGTACATATTTCGAAAACATAGATAGAAATAATTATAGTTTTTTTTTTTTTTTTCTTAATACAATTTTATTAATCACAAATTATATTTAAATATTTTTTTTTAAATGTATTTTAATTTGCTTTTTGTTTGACTTGTTGTCTTGCTGGGACTTTTTTGTTCCAGTATAAGAAGAAGAGGGTTAAAACAACACCGTTTAAGAATGAACCGATTAAATAACTAGCTAAAACTAAAATATTTATAAAAAGATGGTTATAGATTAGGGATTTGTATAATATGATTGTAATAATATGTATTTAAACTTACTGGTTGGATTGTTGACTTCTTTAAGGGTAGTGAAAACACGAGCTAAACTACCAGCGAAATTTAAGAAAACAGTAATGAATGAAAGTTGGCCAACACTCTTGTTTTTAAGAAGGGTGACGATTTGTGGGATTTTACTGAAAATAAATAATGGGATATTGATACTCTAAAAATAAAAGTAATTCAATTAATACACAATGCTATATACTTATATTGATGTTGTTCTATAGTTACTAATAATAAATTAAGTTCTTTTGGACTTGCAAATTTCATGACACCAACAATGAAACCAAGATATCTTTAATAAATTTAATGATTTTGAAATTAATATTAATAGTTTTAAAATTTGTTGGATATAGAGTATAATATTACTTACCCAACTGAACCTAATACGAAGGTGGCACCTAATTTACCAGTTAATTTTAAGATTAAAACTAAAAGAATAATATTTTGGATTAAAATGAAAGCACTTTCACCATATGTTGAAAATGGGGTGTTTAATAAATAACCGGCAAGGAGTGAAATAGTGAAACTAACCAAAAGTACCAAAAAAATACATGTTAATAATCACGATCTGTTTGTATTTATAAAAAGATTACTTTAGTTTTATAATTACCCGATATTTTCCATAGCAATTGATGAGGCAGAGAGTGATTCAGCAGATTTGCTTGACATAACTTTTAAAATTTGTGGAACTTTTAATAAAAGTGAACCTGTAATAATACCATAACCTAAAGCTTTGGAGATTAATAAACCTAAATTCCATTGTGGGCCAAGGGTTGATTGGATAATGGCATCGGCATGTTTAGTAATGGCTTCCATCTTTTTATTTATAAACAATACAATTTAATATATTATCGATTAATATTAAAAAAGATTAATTAATAATAATGACCAAAAATGAAAATATTTTAAAAAAAAAAAAAAAAAATAATTTTTAAAATTTAAAAAAAAATTAAAAAATTTTTAAAAAAACACACATCACCACACAATTACTAATTCCATTAGAGTGGTTTAAAATTTTAATTAAATGGTTTATTTACATATGGTGTTTATTTATAATAATATTAGTGGTTTAGTAAATCCCATGTACCAATAGTTTCATTCTTGTAAAAGTGTTTTGGTGTCCATTCAATGTTGTTTTTCTTTCTTTCTTCAAGCTGCTTTTCTTGCTGTTTCTCTACTTTTAGTTTTTCCAATCTCTTTTGCTTAGAATTGCCTCTATGATGGGCGTCAAATACTTCTTTCCAGACATTATATGAATTGGTTGGTAAAGATGTATCTTCATTTCTTTCAATCATGGTGGTTTCCTTTAATCTTTTATAAAATAATTTGGATTCTTTTGTTTTTAAATCTTTAATCACCATTTCTCCACTCCATGTGCCAGTAATATTATATTTTTTTTCATTTTTTTCAATATCAATTACTTCTATATCCACCTTGTTATAATGACCACCCAAAATTGGTTTTTCACCATATTTTATGTTCATTTTGTATTTGGAATCACTTGACGATAGAATAGAATCTCCGCTAAACTCAGTAAAGCCCCTTAAAAAACGTGAGTTTAAACTTGGCGAATTGTATTCATAAACTTCGTTAAACTTTTCTAAAATAATCGTTGTTTTGCCAATATTTTCAACCTTTACATTTGTACCCAAAAATAACAAGTCAATTTCATAGTTAAATAAAACTTTAACACCTTGTTTTTTGTTATAAACACAGGTTGCCATTGTTTGGGGAAGTGCAACTAGTTCAGAACAATAGTAGTTTTCAGTTTCAACCATACCATTTTCATCTTTTGTATGAAAATTACCCATTCTAGTTTCACCCAATATGGAATTTAACGGTTTTTCTAACTTTATATATTTTATTTTAATATTAATATTAATATTTTTTTATTTTTTTATTTTTTTATTTTTTAGTTTGATATCAATACATACAACTGGGAATGAATGCAATGCAGATGCTAGGAAACGATAGACCTGGAGTAATCTTTCTAAACTATTATCAATATTATTTACTCTTTATAGTTTTAAAATATTAATATTTTTTTTTTATAAAAGGAATAAAAAATTTATAGTTACTTGAACAATAAATCAAAATTAAATAGACTTCCAACAATGTAGTATCTTATGTTGGATTTTGGAGGAATAAACACTGTTGGAACTGGTGAGTACATTATACTGGACCCATATTTAAATTTTTTCATAGTATTATAAATCAATGCAACTTTAGACTCCTTCTCATCCACCTCCTCTTCTTCCAAAACAGTGTTTTTATCTTCGTGTTCCATGTTGTTGTTTTAATAAATAAGAAAATAATTAAATAAATAAATAAAAAAAAAAAAAAAAAATAAAAAAAAAAAAAATAAACCAGTAGTTTTTTTAAACAACACAATTTTCTATTAGATCTTTTATATTAAAAAAAAAGGGTGTTAAAATATTATTTAATTTTTTATTATAAAATATTAATATAATTAAAATCTACATTTTTTTTTAACAGTTTAAAAATTTATATGTTGAAACAAATGGAGATCTTTTTTATTTTTTATTTAAATAATTAATTGGATGTTAATAGGTGTACTAGTAATTATTAAATTCCCAAAAATCATTGTTTTTAGTGAAATGTTTTGGTTCCCATTTAATATTATTTGTATTTCTTTCTTCAAGTTTTTGTCTTTGTTGTTTTTCTACTTTTCTTTTTTCTATTGATTTCTGTTTTAAATTTTTTTGATGGTGTGCATCAAACACACCCTTCCATACATTACTTGAGTCTGTTGGTAGTGATGTATCTTCATTTCTTTTAATAACACTGGTTTCTGTATTTTTATAAAATGATTTGGTCTCATTGGTTTTCAAATCTTTAATTTTCACTTCACTACTCCATCCACCTTGCATTAAATAGACATCTTCATTTTCTTTGCTTAAAGTGGCTAAAACTTGATCATGGTGGCCACCAAGTAATGGTTTTTCAAGAAACTTTTCATTGGCTTTATACTTTAAGTCGTTGGATGTGATGGATATATCTCCGCTATATTCACAAAAACCTCTTAAAAAACGGCAACAGACTGTTGGTGCATCGTTTTCAATTACTTCATTAAACCTCTCAAGCTCTATTCTTGTTTTACCAATTAAATTTATTTTAATATAAGTGCCCATAAAAAACATTCTTAGTTCATAATTTGCTGTCATTCTAATACCTTGGTTCTTGTTATATAGAGTAGTTGCAAAAATGGGTGGATGATGGGAAATTTGTTCTGAACAATAGTAGTTTTCAGTTTCAATTTCACCATCTTCTTTTTTAGTATGAAAATTGCCCATTTGAGTCTCCCCTAATATTGAGTTAAGTGGTTTTTCTAACTATAAAATAATAAAATAATAAAATTAGTTAAAATAAATAATATAAAACTAAATAAAAGATGAAAAATACTTACCACTGATATATGATATAATGTAGATAGTAAATATCGATATACTTGAAGAAATCTTTCAAAACTATTATCAATGCTATTTACCCTATTTTATATACATCATTAAACATCAGTATTTTTTATTTTTTATTTTTTAAAATATGGTACATAAAATAGTTACCTTAATAATAAATCAAAGTTTTTAAGACAACCATCGCAAAAATATGATATTGATGATTTAGGAGGGATAAATATAACAGGTATTGGGATATTGTTTACATTGGGGCCCACCCTTTTTTTAATTTTTGAAATAGGTTTATAATTAAAAAAAAAGGTGATTTTCCTTCCCCCTTTTCCTCAAAATTATTTAAATCCCTTTCCTTTAAATCATTTTTTAATTCTTTACCTGTTTTAAATATTTTTTTTTTTTTTTTAAAATTTTTTCCCCTTTTTTTTGTTTTTTTAAATTAAAAGGAAAAAAAAAAAAAAAAAAAAAACAATATATTAATTTGAAAAAAAAAAATGTAAAATGTTAATATTTTTCCAAAAAAAATAATTTTAAATTAATATTTAACCCACACTCACTTATTGTTTAAAAAGGTTTCTTTATTCACACAAAATTATAAACCATTAAGTTTTGTTTTAAACCACCAAGTAAAAAATAATTTTGTTTACTGGGAAATAAATTTAATATATATTAATTAAATGACTTCATCTATATTTATTTCATAACAAATAGTAAAAAATAAAACAGTTAAACAATATAAAAAAAACAATCCAAAATAAAAAAAATAATAAATTTAAAAAAAATTAAAAAAAAAATATCCAAATTTTTATAAAAAAAAAAAACAATCAAAATTTTAAAATATAAAAACAATATTTTATTTAATAGTATATTTTATTTTTGATTTTGTTTTGTTTTGTTTTATTTATAAATGTTTAAATTCCCATGTACTTGTTGTTTCATTTTTGATAAAATGCTTGGGCTTCCATTCAATATTATTTTTCTTTCTTTCTTCAAGTTGTTGTCTTTGTTGTTTTTCTACTTTTCTTTTTTCCGATGATTTTAATTTTGAATTGCCTTGATGATGGGCATCAAAAACACCTTTCCATACATTATTTGAATCGGAAGGAAGTGAGTGATCTTCATTTTTCTCTACAATACTTGTTGAATTAATGTTTGTTTTAAAAAGTTGTTTAGTTTCTTTTGTTTTTAAATCTTTAATTTTAACTTCTCCACTCCATTTACCATTAATGGAATGAGTTTTTTCATTTGTTTCTGTATCTATTATATGTGATTCAATTTGATCATACTCACCTCCTATTAATGGTTTCTCTAGATATTTACCAATTATTTTCATATTGCTTTTACTTGATTGTAAAGTTCCTATTCCTGTATATTCACTAAAACCCCTAAGAAAACGAGCACAAAGATCTGGTAATGTACCTGTGTATATCTCATTATATTTATCTAATGTTACAAGTATGTTTCCTGATGTTTCGATTTTGATATAGCTTCCCATAAAAAGAAAATTTAGGTTACAATGGAGAATTGTTTTGATACCCAGAGTTTTATTATAATAGCAAGCAACTAGTTGAGGTGGATGATGTGAAATTTGCTCTAAAAAATAATTATTTTCGGTAATATCACCATTTTCATCTTTTGTATAGAAGCTACCACTTAATGTTTCACCTAATACTGGATTTAAAGGTTTTTCATTCTAAAAAAATAATTATTAAATAATTTAAATAATTTTAATAAACTTTTATTTCTTTATACTTACAACTGGAATATAAAATAATGATGATAGTAGATATTCAAATATCTTCATATATCTTTCATAGGGGTCATTTATATTATTTGCTCTGGATTTTAAAAAAAAAAGAGAATATTAGTTTTAATTTTTTTTAAATAAATAATTAAAAAATAATACTTTATTATTAAATCATAGTGAGAAATAAAACTATCAACAAAATAAACAATGGTGGATTTAGGGGCAATAAAAACACTGGGTATTTGAATATTTGTAACATTACTTCCTATTTTAAACCTAAATGATGTTAAAAATTTTAAAATCACTATAATTCTTGAACTTTCTTTACTTTGCTCATCAAAACTGTCTAAATCATCTTCACTAATTTTACACCCATCTTTTTCATTTTTAATTTCTTTGATTTTAGTTTCTTTTTTATTTTTTATAACACCTGTATTTACCATTTAAATGTTTATAAAAAAACTATATTGTTTATGATTAAAAAAAAAAAAAACCCTTTTAAATAAAATAAAATAAAAAACCCCTTAAAAAAAATAAAAATAAAAATAAATAAAAAATATTAGATATAAATAATTATAAAAATATTTTAATACTGGTTTAACCCATTTTTTATTTTATTTTAAAAAAAAAATATTTATTTTTAAATATTAATATAAAATTAAAAATTTCTAAATTTAGAAGTTTATTAATCAGAACTTTTTTGTAATAGGATCTATTTTAAAACATATTGGTGGAAAATTTCTTTTATTTTTTTTTTGTTCTTCTCCTCTATTTTTTATCTTTTAATCTACAATTTTAAAATTTATAAGTTTAAAATCAGTCTTTATAAAGAATGGTTTAGTAGACTTTGTATATATGTATCCGAAGCTAAACTAATAACCATTTTAATAATCATTTATATTAAAAAATGATATTTGAGTGGAAGAATCAACTATATTGGCAATTAAACAAGAGTTTTAAATACTTGTTTCCCATAATAGTGTATTTGGATCTTTTTGAACCATTCATTACAATACTCACTGGTCTAATTAAAATCCAGTGCAAAGCTAGTGAATTCAATTGTATTGGTTTAATCAATTTTTTAACATTTTGCACCACCTGCTACTGAACAAAAGAAATTAACTTTTATTATTTTTTTGAATTTGATAAAGTTAATTTATAATTTTTAAAACCAAAATATTATTACCAATAAAAAAATAAAAAACATTATATTATTTATATTACAAAATATTACAAATGCCCAAAAAGTTATAAAAAATAACAACACCCATTTTTTATCTATAAATTTTTATAAAATAATAAAATTAATTTAAATAAAAAATAAAATTTTAATTTAAAATAAAAAGAAAAAGAAAAAAAAAAAGAAATTTATGTTATTATTTTATTTAATTTAATCTTTATAATTAATTAAATCCCATTTGTCATTCTCTTCATTTTTTTTAAAATATTTTGGTATCCATGTTATATTTTGTTGTTTTCTCTCAGCTGCTAATTTCCTTTGTTCTATTTCTACTTTAGACTTTTCTCTAGAAACCAATTTGATACTGCCTTGTTGGAATGCATTAACAACACCTTGCCATACTACGTTAGAATCGTTAGGAAGAGGGTCCTCTGTTTTTTTACATAAAGATGTAGGTGGTTTTTTATAAAACAATTTAGATTCTTTAGAACTGATAGAGTAGTCTGTAATATTAGTTTCTCCATCCCATTGACCTTGAAGCTTGTATATCTTTTCATTTTTGTTATTGTACATATAGGATTCAAAACAATTATACTGACCTCCTAATAATGGTTTTGCATAGTACTGTGTCTTCATATAATATGAACCTGTATCAGAATGAATTGATCCCACTCCACAATATTCAGCAAATCCTCTTAAATAACGTGCACATAAAGTTGGTATAATAATTTTATATGTTTGGTTATATTTCTCAAAATGAATTTCGCACTCTTTGCCAAAACCAATTTTAAAATATGTTCCTGCAAATACAAGTTGAACTGGTGAAGTAAAATATAATCTAATACCTTCTTTTTTATTGTACACAGCCACGGCACTTAAAGGTGGATGGTGAGAAACCTGCTCAATGCAATAATGGTTGTCTGTTGAAATATTGCCGTCCTCTTCTTTGACATGGAAATCACCCATCAATACTTCACCAAGTATCGGATTTAATGGTTTCCTAGTTGGCTATAAATTAAATAAAAATAAAAAATTAGCATTACAATTTAAAGAATTATTAATAAACTATATTTACATCTTGGGAAACCATTAAGGTAGTGTTTAAATATTTAAATATTTCAAGCATTCTTTCTGACTCATTTTCTATTTTATTTGCCCTTTTTTTTATAAAAAAAAAAAAAAAATTAGTAAAACGATAGCTATTATATAAAATTTAAAAATAAATAATTTACTTTAATAATAAATCAAAATTTTTAAGAAAAATATCATTAAAATATTTTAATGTTGACATTGGTAAAATAAATGATCCTGGTAATTCTACATGTGACAAATCTGCCCCAATACCAGCTTTAATTGTTTTTAATAAATTTAAAACCATATTTAATCGTGAGGTGCTTTCATATTTTTCATCAAGATCTTCTAACTCTTTTGGTTCTACACCTAATTTACTATTTTCATTTCCGCCATTACTAAAATCATAGTTGCTACTATTTATTATTGAATCTTCTGTTGCTCCATTTATGTTTTGTTTTTTATTTTTTTTTTTACTACTATTATTATTACTATTACTATCCATTTTTATATTTACAAAAGTTTAAAAAAAAAAAGTATTGTTTTTAGATAAAATAAAAAATATTTATATTTTTTGTATTTTTTTTTTTTTTTTTTTTTTTATGTGATGAATTAAAAAATTGTATATATATTAAGTTTAAAAAAAAAAAATACTAAAAATATAATATTAAAATTTATGAGATAAACAAAAAAAGAAAAAAAAAAATATAAAAAAACAATCTATTTTTAAAATCTAAACCCACCAATTATACCCCTAACAAATTTTTTTTTTTTCTCCATTTTACAAATAAAATTTTATTTATTCCTTTTATCTCTTTAATCTTTATCTTAGATAAACATTTTTATCATTTATTTATTATATTATTCCTATTTGTTATAAAAATAAATCGATTCGAATTTGTGCTTGTATGTTTGTGTGATTTATTTGTTTTATTAAAAAGGTTAAATATTTAAATTTATTGTGTGAATTAGTGTGTGTACAAAATTTAAAGACATTAAATATTAAAAAAAAAAGATAAAAAAAAGATAAATGAAATTCTTTGATCTATGATTTAATATTATTTGTGTTGATTACTATTTAATTTATAAAAATTTAATCATTCTTTTTTGATAATAATGATGGTGGTGGATTTACAAGGTTATTAGCAAACTGTAAATAATAAAATTAAAAATTAAAAAAAAAAAAAAATTAATATTTTTTAATGATTTATAATAATGATAATAAAAATATAGAATAATATTTACATTAAATGAAGTTTCTGGTAAAAGATAAAGGGTTGTCTCATCAGTTGGAATAGTTGATAGTTGATCTAAATATTTTGAGCTTATCAAATAGCCTGTAGCGCTAACATCTTTGTTATTAATACCATTTCTAACAAGTTTAATGACCTCTGCATCAGCTTGGCTTTTAAGACGTTTGGACTCTGCAAAACCCTTTGCATTTTGTATACTAACAGTTTTATCAGACTCGGACGATAACACCACTTTGGCAGCTAAACCTTTACTCTTTACAATAAGTGATTCCTTTTCGCCCTCGGCATGTAAAATTGCAGATCTCTTTTCACGATCCTTTTGAATTTGCATTTCCATAGCCTGTTTAATATCTTTTGGTGGACGAATGGACATAACCTCGACACGTGTAATAGTTACACCCCAACGTTCGGCCTCTTTAATAGTTTGTTCTTTTAATTGACTGTTAATATGTTCTCTTGAGGAAAAAGTATCATCCAATGATAATGTTGCAATAATATTACGTAATGTGGTTTGAGCCAATAATTCGATTGAATCTGGTAAATTCTGAACACTATATACTGCTGCTTTAGCATCTGCTATTTGAATATACATTAATGCATCGATATTAATTTGTACGGTATCTTTTGTAATTACATGTTGTCTACCGAATGTGATGACATGTTCTCTCATGTCAATACGATCTGTATCTTGAATCATAACCTGCACTTTTTTAGCACCAACAGCTAAATCCAAATATCTCCAATGAATTAATCTTGGTGAATCTATAAAAGGAACTAAAAAATGTAAACCTGGATTTAATGTTCTGTGGTATTTCCCAAATCTCTCTATAAAATAAAATATTATTAATATTAATTATATAACAATCATATTGAGTGTCTACGTATTATTACGATATACATACCTATAATCATTACTTCAGTATGTCTAACAATTTTGACCAATTTCTTTGATACAATTAATGCCACTACAATAAATACAAATACAAATATATATAAAGCAATTGCTAATCCAACATTTCTATTTTTATCATCATCATGATAACTACTACTATTTAAACTATTATCATTGTTATTATTGCTATCGCTTGATGAACTACTGGAAAACCAATTAAAGCTACTATCTTGAGCTTGGGCTTGAGGTTTTATAAATGATGGAAAAATTTCTGCCATCTTTAAACTAAACCAATTTGAATTTAGTCAAATTATTATTATTAATTTTGATAATGATTAAACTATTAAAAATTGTTTTGTTATTATTATATTATGAATCACAAAGATAATTATGAGAAGTCTATTTTTAATTTTGAATAAAAAATAAAAAAATTAAAAAAAACAAAAATAAAAAATTAAAAAATTAAAAAAACAAAAACAAAAATTAAAAAAAATAAAAATAAAAATAAAAAGATTTTTTTAAATTTTTAAGTTAATTGCAATTATAACTAAAGCAATAGATATACTGGGAAGTAATATTCATTTTAAAAGAAATAACTTAATTTAATATTTATTTTTTCATCACCAACAAACACATAAAAATAAATAAAATAATTTTTTTTTTTTTTTTTTTTTTTTTTTTTTTTTTTTTTTTGGGGGTGTGGTCTCCTTTTTAGCCAAAATATTATTTGTAGGAATTAAAAGATAAAACATACCAAATAAAATTAATTTTATAATCCAATAAAATAAAAATAAAATAAAAAATAAAAAAATTAAATTTAAAAAAAAAAAATTTTAAAAAAATAAAATTTAAAAAAAAAAAAAAAAATTCGTTTCTTTCGTTTTTTAAAATTATTATTAGATCAGTTTATTATTGATATCAAATATTATAGGATTGGCATATAAAAATGAGTCGTCCAGAACACATAGCCCCACCAGAAATCGTAAGTAATTTATTTGAATGTAAAATATAATGTACAATTAAATATTTATAAATTTATTTTATTTAGTTTTATGATGATACTGAAGCAAAGAAATATTCATCAAAGTATGTATTAAAATTTGTATTTATACAATAAAACTATATCAAATAATATTAATAATAATAAATATTTATATTATCATAGTTCACGTATTATCGAAATTCAAAGTAAAATGGCTGAAAGAGCTTTTGAATTATTAGCAATTCCACAAGAATCAGAAGGATTATTATTTTTAGATATTGGTTGTGGTTCAGGTATTAGTGGTGATGTTTTAACAGATTCAGGACATCAATGGATTGGATGCGATATTTCATCAAGTATGTTGGATGTAGCAGTTGACAGAGAGGTTGAAGGTGATGTAATGTTAAGGGATATTGGTCAAGGTTTTCCTTTTAGACCAGGTACATTTGATGGTGCAATTTCAATTTCAGCTATTCAATGGCTTTGTAATGCAGAGAAATCACATCACAACCCAAGAAAGAGACTTCATGTATTCTTTCAATCATTATTTAATGTTTTAGCAAGAGGTGCCAAAGCAATCCTTCAATTCTATCCAGAGAATGCCGCACAAATCGAAATGATTACTGCATCAGCACTTCGTTGTGGTTTTAGTGGTGGTCTTTTAATCGATTTCCCAAACAGTACCAAAGCAAAGAAATACTTTTTAGTTTTATTCACTGGTAATAACTCTGTTATGCCTGCTGCCAAAGGTATTAATGGTGAAATCGAAATGGATGAAGAAGAAGATTCAAATGAAGTTAAATTTACAAATAGAAAACGTGATAGAAGACGTGTTGGTAAATCAAGGGGCAGTGCATTAAAGAAGACTAAAGAATGGATTATGAATAAAAAAGATAGACAAAGAAAACAAGGTAAAGAAGTTAAAAATGATTCTAAATTCTCTGGTCGTAAAAGAGGTCCAAAGTAAGTTTTTTAAAAAATTATATAATTTTAATTTGTGGAGATTGAAATACAAATAATAATAATAATAATAATAATAATAATAATAATAATAATAATAATAATAATAATAATAATAATAATAATAATAATAATAATAATAATAATAATAATAATAATAATAATAATAATCATAATAACAGTATTATAAAATCGAAAAGATAAGATTTATTTTATATTACTTTTTATCACCATGTGTCATTATATATCACCATATGTCACTACATTTCACCATATGTCACAAAATAATTATTACACCACCAAACATTATTTGGACCAAAATATTATTTTTTGATAACGTTATTATTGTATCGCTCGATATGGATCGATTTATTGGTTCCTTTTTTATTTTGTTTCTAGGCTTTTGTATTTCTATATTGTTTATTCTGTTATTATAATAATATATCTTGTCAATCGAATCATCTACTTATAAAATATTTTATATACAATACATTTTTATAATTTTATTGTTATTTTTTGTTAGTTTCTTGGTTTTAAAGAAATTTTTTTATATTTACAAAAAAGAAAAGAAAGAAAAGAACATTTTTTTTCGTGTTTTTAAAAAATAATATTGTTTTGTTTTTTTTTTTTATTTGTATAAATAGTTTTTTTTCTATAGGTTATATTTTTATTTTTAATTAAATCATTTAAATGATGTATATAACTTTCCTTCTTTACACCCAAACATTGTTAAATCATTTCTATAGTTTGAATTTTATTTGTTTTTAATTAAATTTGTTGTTCTCAACATGTAATTTACAATTATTATTTAATAGATAACAGATAAATTTAAATTATATATATTTTCATCTCTTTTATTCTTTAAAACTCAAGCCCCAAAATAATTTTTAAATCTTATTTATTTCATTTAACATAAAACTGATTAGATAAAAGATAGTTTTATAAAATAGATAATTTAAATATATACAAGTAATAATTTATATAATGGCCATAATAATTCATTTACTAATTTTAATTTTTTTTTTTTTTTTTTTTTTTTTTTTTTTTAAAATAGGTTTTAAAATACAACAACAAATTTTTTTTAAAATTATTTCAATCATTTTAATATTTTAATACATTAAATATGGTTATATGTATATAGTAATATTTAAATACTATGTGCAAATACTTTATTAGTGATGTATCAAATATAACTTTTTGCTTTTTTTTTTTCCATTATATATAGTAGTATATTCAAGTTAATATATTTTATTTTCAAATTTCAATTATACTTTTTTTAAAAAATAACACACACAAACCACTCTTATAACATTACAACACAAGCGTCCTCGTATAATAACTAACAAAACAGATATCCCTACATAAATCAATCAATCATAGATTTCATTTTACAATATTATAAACAATACTCACCACACCAATCAAACTTTAGCTCACTCTTTAACCCACCACCACTAAATAATATGTATATAAATAATAATTATATAAAATAATAAATAAAAAAATAAAATAAAATACTTTTTTTAAATTTTTTTTAAAATATATTTGATAACATTAATATTATTAGTCTTTATTTCCTAAATTTGATCAAATATCATATCATAAAAATGATGTAAAAAAATATATTTTTTATTCAGAAAAGAAGAAGTTAAATCAAGATAACATCTAATTAAAAATAAATCCTCTTTCCAATAATAGTATTACAAATAAAAATAGTAAATAATGATAATAAATAAAACTATAATTAATTATAATTAAATATTAATAAATAAATAAATAAATAAATAATAATGATAATAATAAATAACAAAATACTTTTTTGGATATAATAATCTAATAAATATAAAAGATATCACATACTAATACATGAGGCAAGTAAAAAAAATCAATTTTTTTTATATATTGAAGAAAAAAAGTGCATATTGTTAAAGTTTATAAGAGCTCTAAAAGATCTTTTTCTTTATTTTAGATATTTTAAATAATCATCGTTTTTAGTACTATTTTATTTATTTTATTTTATTTTAAATTATAATTCGTGTGTTAAAAGAGTAAATGCACAATAATATTATCAATAAATGTACAAATATCCAATGTGTACTATTTATTTATTTAATTATTATGTTATCTATAAGGTTTATTTTTAAAAATTTAGTTTTAATAATCAAATCAAATAATTTTAATATATTTTGTGTGTGTGATGTGGAGTGGTGGTGGTGTGTGAAGATATCATGGGTTATAAAAAATATATATATTTATAAAATATAGTATTTATACTAATTATATTATGCTTAATCAAAAAATATAAATAAAAATCGCATATGGATTCTCTATAATTCCCAAGAGGCTTTTATTTTTATATTTCAAATCTAATATAAAATAATTTTTATAGTATGAAAACCAATTTAAAAAATTAAAAATAAAATAAAATAAAACTAAAACAAACTTTATCGTTAAGAGTCATATTTATTTTTTTTTATTTTTTTTTATTTATAATATACTACTACTAATATTATTAATTTTAAGTAAATAATCTCCTCATTCCTCGACCATTATATTATTTTTTAAATATATATATACATTATACTATATATATAATTGCTTTTTTTTTTTTATGTATATCAACAACAACATCAAAACTAAATAAAAAAATTATATTAATATTAATAAAAAATTTGTACATTAAAAAAAAAATGATCATATGATTAAAAATATATTATACAAAAAAAACGACGCCACCCCCAAATATAAAAAACACCACTCCCATCCATTCAATTTTAACTTTTATTATTTAATATTCTTAATAATATAATTTAAATTTTAAATATATATAAAAACATAAATAACATAAATTACACACCATAACATACACACACACACACACAAATCAACACATATATAATTTATTTTTAAAAAAAATAAAATTAATTTAAAAAATATATAAAGTAAAAAAAATTCTTTTTTATTTTTTTGTTTCTTTTATAAAAATAATTATTTTTTAAGTATTAAAAAAGAAAAAAATATTTTTTTTTCTTTATTATTTATTATAGTTTTTAATGTTGTTATATTTTAAAGAAACTTAATCAATTTATAAGGTAAGAAAAAACATTTGTTCTCCAATGAAAAATACATTGTATTTGCATTTTATGAAAGATTAAACATTTTAATTTGCTGATAATATATTTTAAAATTTTTCATTTATTTCTCTTTA